TTCATGTTATATATTTTTTTCTGTATCAAATACCATTCTACTGATTTAAGTAGTTGTTGCATAAATTTGAGTTTTTTTTTAGAAATCCAAACCATACATGAAAGTACATTTGATACAGTGTAACATGTTCAATGTTGTCAATAAAATACCACAAAATTTGAATCATGCGAATTATCATGTGCTATCCAGTGACTAGCTTCGTGAAAATATCTTCGGTATTCTAGTAAAAAGTTGTAACCAGTGGAGTTAAACTGTGTCGAGTACGAAACATTTACCCACTAAATACAAAGGATAGTGGTTAGGCAATATCGTGGATTGATTCAAGTTAAATCTCAAGTGATTATGCGTTCACGTTCGAGTCCGAAGATCCTAGATCCCATAACCGCGTCCGGAGACTGTTTGAATGCACACTGTCGAAGTAAGGACAAAATGACTTCCCAGCACTTCCAGGTTTACAATAGTAGTCAAACGTTGATTAGTTCATGTTAACTACGGAACTCAGTTATCTCCACAACCCTAAACTGACAACTATAAATACTTCCTTACTTACTTACGCCTGTTACCCCCAATGGAGCATAGGCCACTGACCAGTTTTCTCCAACCAACTCTGTCCTGGACTTCCCTCTCTAATTCTGTCCAATGTTTGTTCATTCCTCTCATATCTTTCTCCATTTCTCGGCGTAGTGTGTTCTTTGGCCTTCCTGTTTTCCTTTTGCTTTGAGGGTTCCATATGAGGATTCTGGATGATGTCTTTGGTAGTTCTCCAAGTTTCCGCTCCATACAGTAGAACTATCTTCACATTTGTATTGAAAATTCTGATTTTGGTTTTGGTTGAAAGTTGTTTGGAGTTCCAGATATTTTTCAACTGTAGAAATGCAACCCTTGCTTTGCCAATCCGCGCCCTCAAATCTGCATCAGATCCACCTTTCTCGTCGATGATGCTGCCCAGATATGTAAAGGGGCAGTTAAAATGAATTATGCCTTATCCTAAGAAGGAAAAACTGTATGTATTTTTTGCTATTGAAATTAAGTGGGCTGTCCCGAATGAGATGGAAAATTACTAAACCTCAAACAAGCCATTATTTATGACTCAAAAACAAACTGGTTGACATTAATTTGTTCATAAAACTAATAACTAGTTCAATGGTTGATGTCAATCGAAAAGTTTCACAAAATCATCTAGACGGACCTTAATTCTGGACGAAAGTAATGTTTACTGTGGAATCTGAACATAATTCTTCCAAATTCACTGTCAGAGACATTACTAGAAAGCTATTTTGACCGGTGTCACTTAACACAAAGCGTATGTCTACAGTCACCTGTCGATAACTTCCGACCTCCCGACAGTGCGATATAGTAAACGAGTTCTCAAGTCCTTCAAACTAGTTTTCATAGTGAAACCTAATCAATACGCTTCACAGGATAGATAAAACAGAGATTAATTCAGCGCAGGCGCAAATTAATTCATTACAATTTTTAACCTCATTAAAACATATCAAGTTTAACACAGTTTTTTTTTCTCTACGGTACACATAAATTATGAGATGTGAGTTTATTCACTCGATCACTATCAAGAAAAAGCAAAATCGATATTCACTATGTCTCATGTCAATTTAAACGCATTTCATTATCAATCTTTAATAAATATTGTCTTGTTTTCAACGGCAAACATTTTTTTTTTACACATTTGAAATCATTAATCAATCATCATTGTTAGACCACCATTGGAAACCTGGAAGCACTGGACGGCCGTTTCGTCCTAGTATGGGACTCCTCAGCAGTGCGCATCCACGACTCCAGCTCCTCGCAGGAAACATTTTGAAAATTTCCTTACTTTTTTACTCACATATAACATTTTATACCGGAATTCGTGTATCAGTTTGATTTTTAATTTCACAGAATAACTATGATCATACTGTTCATAAAAATAGTTGACAGATTGGTTTTGTTTGAAACTGAAGTGCAAAATCAATTCAGACACAGAAATTTAAACAATAAACTAAGAAAAATACTAAATGTAATGTGTACTTTGGTGTAGTCGTTTGCATGCTGTAATGTAGTAGATATGAAGAACAGAAATAGAGAGAGAGTGGAGAGAGTGGCGAGAGAGAGTAAATGTATTGTGTTGTAGTTTTCATTGTTCTCTTGTCTGACATTGTCAGTATAAACTCCACGTAGAACTGAAGTTTGTGTTGGTAGTGTTTTTGTTAGAAGAAACAATATAAGTTTAACAATTAAACTTTTCGACAAAACTCTAGCATAAGCATCTGTCTGAATAACAAATTTTCGTTTTCATGTAGGTATGTAGCATGATTTTGAAAGGAAAAAAAGGATTGCGTGTTATTAAAAATTTCCGATTAAATTTTGTAACAATTTTCCTTATTTTCAATAATAGACAATCTATGAGTAATTTTTTCTTGTATCTTTCAAACTATTGAACATTGAATTAGTTTTAATGCAAGTAAAATTAGGCGCGAAGTTTAATTTACGCGTAATCAAACCAGAGAAATTAATAGTTTTACCTAGGTAATAATTGGTAGTGATGTAGTGAACGAGAACACAGGTGGGGCAACCGTACTGTATTTAAAGAAAATTACAGAGTTACTCAGTAAAATCGGAAAACCATATCGTAAACCGTTGTTAATTTGCAAAATATCAGTTCATCATATCGAACTGGACTGTTCCTGTTGCAAAAAACATCAATCCATTGTCACTACTATTCATGCGTTTCATACAAATTCCATTGTTTTCTAACTCTTCCTTTTTTGATCTTCCCCTATCTTCTGCTGCCAGACATTACGTTGACACTCACGTCATATACTACTTATAAGTAGGTCACACCACAGTGATACACTATGATCAGTAAAAATCTTTAAATAGTGAGAATGAATTCAACTTTGTAATTAATGGCTAAACATGGCGGATTTGATGAGGATGTAAAGACAGGGTTTATCAAAGCTGGGGCGGCATTTCTACAACCACAGCCTATCAACCAACATCAAAGACAGAATGTTCAATACGAATATCAAAACAGTAGTTCTGTTCTACGGAATGGAAACTCGGAGAACTAGGGAATCCATCATCCAAAACATACAGGTGTTTATTAACAGTTAACAACCAGAGCAACCATTCTTTTAGGTACATGGAACATTCGTACATTGTGGGAGACTGAAAGACTATTTCAAGTTGCTGCAGAAATGAAAAGATACAACCTCGAGGTGCTCGGTATCAGTGAAACGCATTGGACACAAGTAGGACAACTGAGACTTGCTTCAGGGGAACTGCTGTTATACTCTAGTCATGAAGAGGAAAACGCTTCACATACACAAGGAGTTGCACTGATGCTGTCCAAACATGCACAAAAGGCACTGATAGGATGGGAATCTCGTGGACTGAGGATCATTAAAGCATCCTTCAAAACAAAGAAAGAGGACATAACAATGAACGTTATCCAATGTTATGCACCTACCAATGACTACAATGACGACGTTAAAGATCAATGCTACGAAAGGCTGCGGTCAATCGTCGACAGATGGTCATCAAACGATTCGCTGATTGTGATAGAGGACCGAAATGCCACGGTTGGCATGGACAATACTGGATACGATCACATCATGGGACGACATGGACTGGGAGAAAGGAACGAAGACGGTGAGAGATTTGCAAACCCATGTGCCTTCAACAAACTGGTCATCGGTGGCACAATATTCCCGCACAAACGCGTACACAAAGCTACATGGTTATCACCGGATCACACTACTCAAAACCAGATTGATCATATCTGTATCAACAAAACGTTCAGAAGGACTATGGAGGATGTGAGAACCAGGAGAGGAGCTGATATAGCCTCAGATCACCATTTGCTGATCGCCAAAATGAAGCTCAAACTAAAGAAGCACTGGATAACGGGGCAGACAACATCACACAAGTTTAATACGGCCTTTCTTCGGGATACTGTAAAGCTCAACGAATTGACGGCTTAAAGTCAAAGCTCGTCTTGTGATAAAGTTGGATACTTTCCTCAATGTATGTCCTATCCATTTCCAGCCCTTCTGCCTGATTTATCCTTCCACTGGAATCTGGTTTGTTCTCTCTCACAATAGGTTGTTGCTGATGATGTCTGGTCAAAAAATCTGTAGCATCTTGCATAGACAACGAACACCTAAAGTTCGCCAACTTCACGCTCTATTCAAAAGAGTAACTGTTTTAGCGTGTACCTACTGAAAATCGTCACTTTGATATTGTTTGACTGTACTGTCATAATCTCTTTCTGGAGAAAATTTATTCTTTATTGCGTATATTTTGAAACTATATTGTCAAATGGGTATATTGACAGATTCCTTTTGTTAAAAATCGGAAAAAGTCAAGAACAAATCGTTCATTTCACCCATTCCTCTGTCTCAATCAATTTCAGTGTTTGTTACAAGCTTTTGTTTCAATTATTTCGTAATTATCATAATTAGGATTTAAAACATTTTGAAAAAAATCATGAATCGATCAATGTTAGACCACCGTTAGAATCAATCTCCACAACACAGTCATGCAAATTATCATGTGCTCACTAACAACTATGGTCCAGTGAGCAAGTTTTTCCGAATTCTAGTGAAAAGTCGTGCCTAGTGGAGTTCATCCCATGTTCGAATGTGAAGCAGTGTTCACCGATGACAATGGGTAAGGTTGCATAAAACTGTGGATTGAATCAATTTAGACATTTAGATTGTTAGATACCTGCTCAATGGTCTAGAGGGTCAAGCGTTCGAATATCCTGGGTTCTAATCTGGTGAGTAGAAGGAGTCATGAGTGCTCACTGTTGAGGATTTACATACCAACACGAAACAGCCATCCAGTACTTCCAGGTTTCTAACATTTATCAATTCATGATTTCACAAAAATCACTCAACAATCTCCTTCACCCGTTCATGTAAATTTTAATTAATTATTCAGTTATTGCTTATAACAAATACTTCAAATGTGATATTTTATTTACTTGTTCATTTCAGATTTAAACGATTCGAATTTACTGACAATTTCAAAGGATCTATTTAAAAAGGTAAAATTTTTGGTCATTCAACTACTTAATTTGATTTTTAATTCAATAGTAATATTCAAATGATTTGTATAAATCGATCAGTCCATTTTTGGGTAAATATCTCACGCACACAGCAAAATAAATAAGAGAGACGATGACCAGTGTGCCAGTAGGTCTCAACATACACAAGGGAAATTGCAAGATCCTCCGATACAACACAACATGCATCAACCAAATCACGCTTGATAGAGATGCCTTGCACATCTTGACAGAGTCATTGACAAGCAACGTGGATGTGAAGAAGTGAACCGGCAAATCGGTGAATATCCACAACTGAAAATAGCTGCGTCTCAGACATCACCAAAGTCACAATCTTTAGAAGAAATGTCAAGACAGTTTTATTGTATGGAGGAGAACGTTGGACAACTATGAATGTCATTGTTCGCGGTTGTCTACACATTAGACACTTGATATTCGTTGCCCAAACATCATCAGCAGTAACCTATTGTGACAAAGAACAAACCAGATTCCAACCGACGAAGGAATCGGGAAAAAGTGTTGGAGGTTGATAGAACACACATTGAGGAAAGCACTCAACGTCGTCACAAGACAAGCCCTAACTTAGAATCTTAATTCCGTAATAAAAGAGGAAGACCAAAGAACACATTAAGTTGAGAAGCAGAGACAGACATGAAAGGAAACATGGTCATCTTTGATTATTGCATTGAATTTAAAAGGAAGCAAATAACTATGACACACTACGTCATCCGATGTTACCTCGCCAAAGTTTGTACTTAAAAATTCACAGTGGATTGATAGACAGATACAACGCAGAACGTCGTACGTAAGTACAACGTCAGTTCAGGTTGTCATATCACATTAGCACAGAGAAGCAACTGTCAGTTCAAATCCCATAGTAGTAGAGATAGTAGAAGTATTAACAGTAATGGAGAAGATTAGAGTTAGAAGATATGATTTGAGAAGTATAATTCAATGAGATAAATTTAGAAAGACAAAGGTAGAGGTGCTGGCTAATCCAGAAGATTAGGATTTGAGAGAGCTCAACGAATGGATGCACTTGAACCATTGCAAACGATTTTGAGCCATGTCGTTCAAGGTCTCTAACCATTGGTGACTATCGTCTCGCGGACCCCAACCAGGTAGTCTACATCTACCAACATGACTCAGTCCACTTGTCAGTGACTTCGTGGATTTCTGCCATGTTTTGGTCTGGCCGCCCCTAGCTTTCTTCCAACCTACTCCTACACCACAAAACATAGCTTGTCGAGGCAGTCGGTGGTTAGTCATACGTAATACATGTCCCAACCACCTCAACTGATGAAGTTTCACCACTTCATCTATTGATCTGCCATCCTTACCTAGTACTCGTTTCCTAACGACAGCATTGCTTACTCGGCTGTCCCACGATATACGAGCAATGCTTCGAAGACACCTATCATCGAAGGCAAGCAACCTACGAATATCTTCTACTCTCACTGGCCATGTTTCACAGCCATAAAGTAAGACGGAGAGAACTGCTGCTCAGTACACTCGTCTTCTGGTTAGCAAACAGTTATCTCGCCTGCGCCACATAAATGACGCAAGTTGGTAAAAGCCAATTGAGCTTTCTGTATATTTGCTGAGATCTCGTCAGTCACCAGACCATCAGCATTGATGAAACTCCCAAGATAAGTGAAGCGGCTCGACTACTTCACTCCCTATCACTAGTTGTTTGGATTGAACAGAGTAATGAACATGAAATGTACGTACAGACTAGGATACAGGGCTTGAACATTGAATATTGAAAGTGTCATTGAAGGTCCAATTCAGGATAAGCTTTGATAATGCACTGTTTTATTGATGAAAGAACTTTTACTGCATTCTCTCTCTCTCTCTCTCTCGCTCTTCAAAAACTAATCAAAATAATAATGGATATTTTAATCTTGTTCAATGCATGTTCAATACATGACCTTTCATATGGATTGGAAAAAACAAAAATTCAATTCTCTCGAATAGATTTTCTTTTTTTTCTTAAAATAATTAAAGTTTATTATTATTATTATTATTATTATTATTGGTTTCGATACATTGAACATTTAATTATTGTGAACTAGTATTGCTGTTTAAATGGGATACAAGGAAATGAAAATTAATCTACATTGAACACATTGAACAGTTACTTATTCATATTTATTTCTTTGTTTTAAATTAAATCTCTAATGTATATACATTACTTACTTACTTACTTACGCCTGTTTCCCACAATGGAGCATAGGCCGCACACCAGTTCCCTCCAACCAAACCCGTCCTGTGCCTACCTTTCCAGTTTTGCCCAGTTGTTGTTCATTCCTCGCATATCTTTCCCTTTTTCTCGGCGTAATGTGTTCCTAGGGCCTTCCTCTTTACCTTTTGCCTTGAGGGTTCCATGTGGGGGCTTGTCTTGTGACACAGTTTGGTGCTTTTCGTAGTGTGTGTCCTATCCACTTCCACCACTTCTTCCTGATTTCCTCCTCCACTGAAGGAATCTGGTTTGTTCTCTCCCACAGTTCGCTGTTGCTGATGGTGTCCGGCCAACGAATCCGAAGAATTTTGCGTAGACAACTGTTAATAAACACTTGTATCGTCTGGATGATGCCTTTCGTAGTTCTCCAAGTTTCCACTCCATACAGTAGAACTGTCTTCACATTTGTATTGAAAATCCTGATTTTGGTTTTGATTGAAAGTTGTTTGGAGTTCCAGATGTTGTTCAATTGTAGAAATGCAGCCCTTGCTTTGTCAATCCGCACCCATACATCTGCATCGAATCCACCTTTCTCGTCGATGATGCTGCTCAGATATGTAAGGGTGTTAATGTCCCCCAAGGCATCTACATCAAGAGTGATTTGTTTGGTGGTAATGATAGTTATATTGTAAAATCGATAAATAAGTTCACAAGGTCAGTTATTAATTCATGGAAACAACTTATTTAGGCCATAATATGGGCAGACAGATGTCTACAATGATGTAGTATGTTACACTGACCTAAGTCAGTCAGTCAGTCAGTCAGATGCAACGTAGAACTTCGTACGTAAGTACATCAGTTCATGTTGCCATACCACAATAGCACAGACAGATCTAATTGTCAATTCAAATCCAATAGTAGAAGAGGTAGTCAAGGTATTAGGAGTAATCGGAGAGGTTAGGATTAGAAGATATTATTCAAGAGGTATGATTCAGTGGGAAAAGTTTACAAAGTTGAAGAATTTGAATAGAGAAATAAGAAGACATATTTTGTGAGATAGTACCATGTCTTCTTATTTCTTTATTCAAATTTATCAAAGGGAACCACTGTTTTGAAAGTTGAAGAATCCAGAAGATTAGGTTTTGAGAGAACACAAAGAATAAATGTACCGGCGCCATTGCGAACGATTTTGAGCCATGTCATTCAGGGTCTCTAACCATCGATTATTATCATCTCACGAACCCCAACCAGGTGTAGTCGGCAATTACAGACATGGCTAAGTCCACTTGTCAATGACTTCATGGATTTCTGCCATGTTTTGGTTTGGCCGCCCCTAACTTTCTTCCAACCTATTCCTACACTACAAAACAAAGTTCTTCAAGGCAGTCGGTGGTTAGGGATACGCAGCACATGTCCCAACCACCTCAAATGATGAAGTTTCATTACTTCATCTATTGATCTGCCATTCTTACCTAGCACCCGTTTCCTAATAACAGCGTTGCTCACTCGAAGACACCTATGATCGTAAACCAATAACCGACAAATATCTTCTACTCTCACTGGCCATGTTTCACAGCCATAAAGTAAGACGGAGCGAACTACTGTGTTTGGTTCTCTGAGTTGGATGTTTTCATTGGGGAGCTTTCGTTGTTCTTCCGCTGAACAATATCATCATCAGCACAAACTTCTTCAGATAGAAGAAGTGAAGTATTCGAATTCCTCCACATGTATGACCCGTAGCTAGCTCTGATAACCCTCGATCTTGGTTAGTTACTGTTGACATTCAACCTGTCGTTGTTTGCACCTTTGTTTCGATTGTATCCCAGTTTTGATCTGTTTCTTGATTCTATGTTTGTTTATGATTTTTCCGATTGGTTAATAAATTGACTTATGTGTACACTGACAAATAGAAAATACCTTTTTTAAAATCATGAATGAAATCATTGTTAGGCTAAGATTAGAAACCTCGAAGCATTGGACGACCGTTTCGTCCTAGTGTATGGAACTCATCAGTGTCAGTGCGCATTCATAACTCCTGCTACTCACAGGATTTGAACCCGGGGTCAACAGTCAAGGGCTACCAGTGATTCATTCATGATTTCAATATAAAACGGCGGTCACCATATTACTCTAATATGAAAACCATAAAATGTACTCACTAGTGAATAGTTTAGTAAGGAAATTCTCGGAGTTCTAAGGAGAAGCTGCGACAAGTGCAGGTCAACTTTATTGTGTATAGGCATTAACTATAAAAAGCAATAATTAAGGTTGTGTGAAACCTTTAAAATGGTCAGAGTTAGACATTAACACGGACAGATGGCGACCCAGTGGTCTAAACGTTAAGATTTCGCTCGCAAGACCATAGTTCGTTGGTTCAAGTCATGGACGCGCACAGCTGATGAGTCCTATAGCAGGACGAAACGGGAATCTAGTGCTTGGAGGTTTCTAATGGTAATCGAACAATGATTCATTTATGGTTTCAATGTGTAAAACGATGTTTTTTAACGGAAATTTCTTCGTATTTTTCGTATATTTTCAAGAGATATTATTATTCTTTATATTTATTGAGTTGAATAATTTTCTAAACAAAAAACTTTCTCCCTAAAAATTTTATTTCATTAAAACACATTTATAAATTAGAAAAAAAATATATATTTTATTTTCTGTCAATATTTATTGTTTTCACATAAATGACCTAATTTAGTTTAGAGAGATTAGTTTTTTTTAAAAAAAAAGGTAATGAAATTTATACATTTTTAATTTAGAACAAACGAAAAAAAAATTGAACATTTAATCGAATGAACTAAAGTTTTTGTTGTGTTTGTTGTGTTTGTTTGTTTATTCTAATTTAAGTAATAAATGAGGGAAAAACAAAATTTAAATTGGACTTTAAACTGTTAAAGGAAATATAGTTATTTTTATCAAGGTCATATCAAGTATTAATTTTGAAAAAAAAGACAAATAAACAAACAAGATTGTTAAAATGAATTTATTTGAGCATGTTTAGTTAGTTAGCTATTTTAAACATACAATCAATCCTATGTATGCATGAATCAATCAATGTTAGACAATCTCATTAGGAACTTGAAAGCTATGCACGACAGTTTCATCCTATGTGTTAGGACTCATCAGTGAGCTGTGCGAATCCACAACCACATCCGTGGGAATGGAGTCCAGGAACATTGGGCTCGCGCGCGCTAATGCCTAACCTCTAAACTATTGAATCGGTATTCAATCAGATTCCAGTGGAGGAGGAAATCAGTACGAAGCGGGGGAGTTGGTGGATAGGATACACACATTACGAAATGCACCCGAACTGCGTCACAAGACAAGACCTCACATGGAACCCTCAAGGCAAAAGGAAAAGAGGAAGGCCAAAGAACATATCACGCCAAGAAATAGAGAAAGATATGAGAGGACTGAACAAAATTTGGACAGAACTGGAGAGGGAATCCCAGGACAGAGTTAGTTGGACAATACTGGTGGGCGGCCTATGCTCCATTGGGAGTGACAGGCGTAAGTTAGTAAGTAAGTATTCAACGACGTTAATGTCCTATGTTTAATCATTTCAGAGACAACACAACCGTCCAGTGCTTCCAGAATTCTAATAATATTCTAACAATGATCGATGCAAGATTTCAACAAAACTCAACAATCTTCATAAATCTACAATGAGAATCTTTTGTAATGGAATCGTTTAACACAGATGATGTCATAACACTCTTGAAACTAAAAAGAACTGTGCCACAAAAAACTGTTAGCATTTTATACGTCTATTATACACAATAAATTTAAAAAAACTGACTTATTACTAGTAGCTTGAAACGAATAAGAGTTTTGAGGATTATGTGTACATATTTTGTTAGTAAACTGTTTATTCTCAAATTTGTCATGTTACAGAGAATGCTGAACATGAATCGGAAAAAATTAATCATAAATATTACTTAATTACTTTTGCCTGTTACCCTCAAATGGAGCATAGGCCACCGATCAGCATTCTACAGCCTACTCTAACCCCAGCCTTCCTCTCCAGTTCGTTACAATTTTTGTTCATCCTTCACATATCTGTCTTTATTTCTCAAAATAATATATATTCCTCGGCTTTCCTCTTTTACCTTGGCTTTGAGAAATCCAAGTAGCAGCTTGTTTTGTGACACAGTCGGGTGCTTTTCGCAGTGTGTTTCCTATCCACTTCCACCGCTTCTCCTTGATTTCCTCTTCCACTGGAATCTGGTTTGTTCTCTCGCACAGTAAATTGTTGGTGATGGTGTCTGGTCAACGGATCCGAAGAATTTTGCGTAGACAACTGTTAATGAATAGTTGTATCTTCTGGATGATGGGTTTGGTAGTTTTTCACGTTTCTGCCTGATGCAATGGAATTATCTTGACATTCCTATTGAAAATTGTGGCTGTGATTTTGGTTGATAGTTGCTTTGAGTTGTGGATGTTTTTTATGTGTAGAAATGCGGCCCTTTATCCGCCAATCCATGCCTTTACATTTACTTCAAATCCACCTTGCTCATTAATGATTTGTTTAATGTGTGTTACGTTGTTGTACCGGAGGATGTTGCTTTTCCCTTTCATAATATTGAGACCTTCCGCTGCATAGGCTGCTGCTACATTCGGCGTCTTCTCTTGTATTTGTTGTTGCGTGTGTAATAGGAGACTCAAATCACCTGCTAATTGATTGATTGTCCAGCTATATCCGAGCTGTCTACTGTATACCATGCTTCACTCCAGATGGTGACGTCATCATGATCCAGTCGATCGCAAGGAGAAAGAAAAAGGATGAGAGCAATAAACGTTACCTGACATCAGTCTTCATTTCAAACGCGTCTGTGGGCTGTCCTGTACAATATTTTCACATGTGAAAATATGATGTCTAATTTGAAGTCATTTTTTAATGAAATAAGTCTGGTAATTTAATAATGATATTGTATGCGGTTATTGTTATCGTAAGTTTCGTATTAGACAAATTTTGCCAATTCATGTCAATGAAAACAGATCAATTCTCATGGATAAGTTCTACTTTGTAGCTCGATTAAATCTGATATGAGAAAACAAACTCTACAATCAATTTATCATTGAGTAATGACTAATAGCATGTCAAGATAATTCTACAGCACGTGAAAAACTATCAAACCCATCATCCAGAAGATACAACTATTCATTAACAGTTGTCTACGCAAAATTCTTCGGATCCGTTGACCAGACACCATCACCAACAACCTACTGTGCGAGAGAACAAACCAGATTCCAGTGGAAGAGGAAATCAAGGAGAAGCGGTGGAAGTGGATAGGAAACACACTGCGAAAAGCACCCGACTGTGTCACAAAACAAGCTGCTACTTGGATTTCTCAAAGTCAAGGTAAAAGAGGAAAGCCTAGGAATGTATATTACTTTGAGATATAAAGACAGATATGGGAAGGATGAACAAAAATTGTAACGAACTGGAGAGGAAGGCTGAGGATAGAGTAGGCTGTAGAATGCTGATCGGTGGCCTATGATCCACTGGGGTTAACAAGCGTAAGTAATTAAGTGAAAGTCGTTTACACAAGCGGAAACACAACACAGAGGTATGAATCTTAAATAAACTGTTTATTGATTTTTTTTTCCTCATTTAATTTAACTCGTGAAAAGTTGATTTCGTGTTTAAAATTCATTTATCATAAATTATCTTTTTTTTCGTTCGATTGTTTGGTTATTTTTTTGTGTATAGATAATTAAAGATACAGATTATACAAATGGCGTATTAATGTTTACTACAAATGAATCCAATCAACTGTTATGTATGGTAAGTCGTTCTGTTTATCAAATAAAACGTCCTCTTTATTAGACAAACAAAAAAAAAAACAAGAGATTTGAATTATGGTGTTGTGGAGATTGTGGTGTGTCGAATTAATGCGTGTTCTCTTAAGCTCGGTAATTAACTCGTTCAGACAATCGTTGCCAAATAGCGTCTGACGGTTGATAGATAAATCAGAAGATGAATTCGTAGTGATGAATACGTTTATTCGAGACACACCACAAAGCGAAGCGGAGAAGCAGTGAATAAAACGAATGAAGTGACGTGAACTGGAGAAGGCTTTTGAGCCAACTCAAAGAGATAGAACATGACTAAGAATATATAGTCAGACAAAAATAAGGCAGACATATGGCAAGCGAAATAGGCGTGCACACACATGAATAAAAGCGACGAATGATTGACATGGTCAAATGGCAAGTGGGACATGTCACGTGAGCTCATACAAACCAGACGATAATAATAAGAAAGAATGGTACATATAAGTCATTGCTACTACGCAAATGGCTTGGTTAAGTAAATTAATCGAAAGGGCTTAACCAAGTTAGATGTAAGCGAACTGGAATATATGTGGAGGCACTACAAGATCGTTGAGTTACTAGTTTTTGAAATCATGAATCAACAATCATTATTAGATAGACCAACATTAGAGAAATGTGGAAGCATTAGACGGCTGTTTCATCCTAGTGTATAGGACGCATCAGTGGCTGTACGCATGCACGACTGCTGCGACTCACAGGATTCCAACCAAGGACTTTTGGTCATGCTTGCGAACGCTGAACGTCTAGACCATCAGGTCGGCATCCAGGAATGTTAATGTCAACTTTGATCAATTCTGTGCGTGAATTTGCATAGAACTGTGTAGATAATGAATTGCGTCAAATGTTGTTATTCAGATAAACAGTCTAGGTTTAATGAATGGTCAGCCTTTCTTTCCTGACGAAATGCCTTGACTGCTCATCTTTCTCTTTCTGAATTATTTCGATATTTCTTAAAATCGATTTTGTGGCTGCTGATTTGTTAATTTTCCAGTTCTACGAGATTATTCTCTAATATAGAACGAATTACAATCGACACTATCTAGTTTGTCGACACAATTTTGTGTGAATGCAAAAAGATACCTTGTCTTTTATTCCAACTAAAATGTTTCTTAGGTTATTGGGTTGTTTTAAAGTTAGTTTCAATTTTAAATATTCTCAAAATCTAGTGTAATTCTGTAAAATCCAAACTGAGGTTTGGACTGAGGAATAACACTGTCTAGGTAGTTTAGATACGCGTTTTGGCCAGTTTAAAACCAAAACAGGTGATTCGGGTAAATGACGGTTCTAATATTCATCATAAATATAAATCTATACATCATCACCTAAATAAATATTACCACTCAGATAACTGATATTCTATCCCACCTGGATAGATCAGATTCGTTCGACAGATAATATTTGGTTGCTTCATGACACAGAGTGCTTCTTATTCTGGAAGAGTGCTTCAATACACAATCAAAATGCACAATTCCAGTCAAAGCAAATGAACACAATCAAAAGAGGAACAAATCAATATGGCTGTCGCCATAACTAAGTATCAGCCTAAACAACATAAATGCAGTTCAGACACAAACCTATACACTCAGTGAAAGCAGAAGAAATAGAAACTGTAATAAACTACAAATATTATCATCTCAAAAGTGGAATCGAACAGACTAACAAAATGTACAACTGAAGGAATCAGTAAGGACAAATTACAAATGTCTACATGCAGGGGGATTTTCACAAACAACAAACAAAACACCTTCTACGTTGGGTGTGCAGTAAAAACCGAAATACTAGATCCAAATAGTTTTCTAAAGATGAATAGTTTCATAACATTTAGAGGAAAATTATTCAAGCTGTAAAATGTGCTCCACACTACTTCAAAAATTCTTATTAGTGATTGACTAACAAACTCTTGCACACTCAAAGCTTACATTAGCCGAAATAACATCTAAAATTTAATGTTTCCTACATTTTTCGTTTCTGTTTACCGGTTTTCATCTGAGGGTTTGACAAAAACCATCAATAAAATTCATGTTTGGAACCACGAATCGATCAATGTTAGACGACCATTAGTAACCTGGAAGCACTGAATGGCTGGTATGGGGACGCCTCAGCAGTGCGCATCCACGATTCGTGCACCCCGCAGGATTCGAACCCAGGACCTTCTGTATTGTATGCGAATGCCTAACCGTCGGACCACTGAGCTGGTCTCTAACGGTGTTAACGTCCAACTTGATGAATCACGGAGTTTCGCATCCTTATACATAATCTTCGGTAGTTACTGTCTACATCCAAACAGCTTGAACTTCACTGGTCACTTCTTCCCACTAGAACTCGGAGAAAATTCCTCACAAAGCTAGTCACTAGTGAGCACAGGTAATTTACATTACGGGGTTGTTGTGAAGATTGTTAAGTTACACATTCATGGTTTCAAAAATGTGTAACTTAAGAATCTTCACAACACCGTAATGCAAATAATTTCATATTTTAATTTTTGTATTTCAATAAACAATTCAGCAAACTCCAGTCAGAATCAGAATCAACTTTCTATTGATTTTCTTTTCTGTATATCTTTATGTGTTTCGACAATATTCAGGCTTCATCAGATGAACTATTTACTGGTCAAATGAAAATAGACGTAAGTGATAACAATGATATTATCATATGAACTATTTTCAGTTTGTTAAAAAAACAATTTTTTAAATTAAAGAAAAACAAAGTTACTGTCGAGATAGCAGTTCAACCTAGAAATCATCAATCAATCATTGTTAGACTACCATTAGAAACTTGGAAATAGTGAACGGCCGTTTCTTCCTGTTATAGAATTCATCAGAAATGCTCATCCACAACTTCTGTTACCCACAAGATTCAAACCTAGGGCCTTCGAACTTGTTCGCGCTCGAATGGCTAACCTTTGGACCATTGAGCTGGTGACATCCGATGGTATTAATGTCTAACTCTGGTCTATCTTTATGGATTTTGTGAAACCTCATCCATTATCTTTGATAGTCACCGCCTTCACCCTACAGGTTTGAAATCTACTGGTCATGTCTTCTTACTAGAATTCCAAGAATTTTCTTGCATAGGTAGTCCGTAGTAAGCACATTTTTTGATTTGTATGATATAATTATGGATAGACAGGCAGACATATACAACGCAGAACTTCATACGTAAGTACATCAGTTCACGTTGCCATACCACATTAGCACACAGACGTAACTGTCAGTTCAAATCCAAGAGTGATAGTGATAGTAGAATTATTAGCAGTAATGGAAAAGATTAGGGAGCGAAGATATGATTCAAAAAGCATAATTCAGTGAGATAGATTTAGAAGGATAAAGATAGAGATTATGAGGAATTCAGAAGGTTAGAATTAGAGAGAACACAAAGAGTGGATGCACCTGTGCCATCGCAAACGATTTTGAGCCATGTCGTTCAACATCTCTAACCATTGGTGACTTTCGTCTCGCGCACCCCAACCAGATAGCCTACATCTACCAACATGACTCAGTCCAATTGTCAATGACTTCATGGATTTGTGCCATGTTTCGGTTTGGCCGCCCCTAGCTTTCTTTCAACTTACTCCTACACTACAAAACATAGCTCATCGAGGCAGTCGGTGGTTAGCCATACGTAGCACATGTCCCAACCACCTCAACTGATGAAGTTTCACTAATTAATCATTCAATCTGCCACCTAGAACTCGTTTCCTAACGACAGCATTGCTTACTTGGTTGTCCTAGGATGTACGAGCAATGCTTCGAAGACACCTAAGATCGAAGGCAAGCAAACTATGAATGTCCTCTACTCTCACCGGCGATGTTTCGCATCTATATAGTGTGACGGAGCGAACTACTGCACAGTACACTCGACCTTTGGTAAGCAAACGGATATCTCGACTGCGCCATATAGGTGATGCAAGTTGGCGAGAGCAAGTCGAGCTTTCTGTATCCATACTGAGATTTTGTCAGTCACCAGGCCATCAGCATTGATGAAACTCCAAAGATAAGTGAAGCGGTCTACACGCTCGACTACATCACTCCCTATCACTAGTTCAGTTACCGATGAAACCCGATCTTGAAGCAACATTTTGCATTTAGACGGGGAAAACCTCATCCCGAACATGCTTGCATTGTTGCTTAGGGTGGTCAGAAGACACTGTATTTTGTCAGCCTCTTCACCAAGTAGGACAATGTCATCGTCATATTCATGGATTTGAACCGCTGATGAGTCCCATACCAGGACGAAACGGCTTTCCGATGCTTCTAGTCTACTATCATGAAAAAAAAACATGAATAATTCACAATTTTATCAACTAAAAGAAAAAAACCAGTTACCTATACATTAAAATGCAAATCAAGTGTGATGATAATTAGTTTTCAAGAAAATAAAAAGAGAATACCAGCAACTAATTATTATTCAATCCAATCTTCTCATTTTCTTAAAATCACAATGAAATTATTATGATTATTGCCCTTGGGTTAACATTTTGCCTAGAAGGGAAATTATTTTCATTTAATCAGTTTTTGTTCGTTCGTTCGTTGGTCAGTTTGCACACACATGAATAAAATAAAAGTTTTATTCATTTAACTCTGGTTTTTAGTTTTTTGGTTAAACTGATCCAAAAGAGAATAACCATCGGACATTTTTTTATATCTTGTTTTCAAATGAATCAAAGTTTGAATATTGAACAGAGTGGAAAAAACAAGAATTTAAATGAATGAAGTGAATGACATTGAACTTGTTTTCATCAGGAATTGATTTAAAAATCTATTCTCTATGAAATAAAGTTTATGCAATATAATTTAGAAGTAATTTTCTCAGTGACATTAAGTATCATCTCCTGAAAGATGGTAATTTTTAACATAGAAATTGTTCTTCTAAGTGCACATTTAAGAATTACAGTCAGTCAGTTAGAATGTCTGTCTGTCATCAGTAACAAAGAATTCGGTACGTACGTACATCAATTCAAGTTACCATCCTACATTGGTACAAGCAGAGATCGAGTTATCTATTCAAATGCTAAATTAGGAGAGATAGTAGTAGTATTAGTGGTAATGGAGAAGACAAGTCAGATCAATCAGATATGATTGGAAAACTAAATGTCAGTGAAATAAATTTCTAAAGAGAAAGATAAAGGTCATTAGAAATCTAGAAGAGTAGAATTTAAGAGAACACTATGCGTCGATACATCTGCATCATTCCAAATGATTTTGAGCCATGTTATTCAAAGTCTTTAACTATCGGTTACTTTTATCTCGTGGACCCCAACTAGGTAGTCGACAGCTACTGATATGACTCAGTCCACTTGTCAGTGACTTCATGGATTTGTACCATTTTTTGGCTTGGCCTGGCCTTATCATTCTACCAGCCTACCCCTGCACCATAAAACATTGCGCTCCGAGGTAGGTGGTGGTTAATTATACGTAACCGATGTCCAAACCACCCTAACTAATAGCTTACAATGAATATCTTTCAATGAATGCATATTCTGTAAAACTATCGTAAAATAAGGTAATTTTTGGGGACGTTAGATCCGCAGAATTCACTTGGGAAGAGTCCTAATTTTGGATTTTTTTACGTCTTCGCGCATAAGTAGCTCGGTTGACCTTGAGCTTTCGTTCCGCAGTCGGAAGATCCTTGACTGTCGTTGGTTGATGAATTATTTTAGTACGTTATTTTGTGGCTCTCTTAAGGGTGTTGCTATCATTCTATAAATAAGCTTAGCAAACTCGTATCCTCTGGGTGCTTGTAGAATACATTCTCTACTCCTAATCAATACTTTTTCCTATAGTCAGCCGGGGATGAAACAAGCGATTAGAATAGCCTATCGTGTCACTGAATCATTGTTTCCGTTCGTTCACCGGGTAAGGTGAACTCGTACTAGTTTCAAGTGTATCATCTGACGAAAATATCAGCAGAAATGTTCGAAATGAGCTCTTAAATAAAATCATATTCATACTAATTTGTTGGAACACTCTTTTATGGTACAAAGTAATTGAAACGCTTCGTCCTAGTGTAAGACTCATCAACATTGCGCGTTCAAGATACTTACACACGCGACTCGAACCCACGACCTTAACCACTGGACCACTATGCTGGCATCCAATGCTTTCATTGTCTAGCTTCAATCAATCTAAGGTAGTCCGCAACCTCATTCATTGTTTTTGGTAGGTAACCACTTACACCTCATAGAGTTGAAATCTCCTAATTACAGCCTCTCACTAGATCGCCGAGAATTTCCTCACGAAACTGTTGAGCACATTTTCTACCGTTGATTGATGTATGATTCTAAAGAAACTCAACAATCTTCACAACCCTGGTGATGCAGTCACGTGATTTCCACAACGTGTGTTCTATCCATCTCAAACGCATTATTTTCCTAATTTTTTCTTCAGCTGTAGTCTTGTTTGCCCTCTCTAGTCAACGTATCTTTTAGACAAGTGTTAATAAACGTCTATGTCTTTTGGATGATGGCTTTTGTAGTTATCCAGCTTTCCGCTCCATACAATAAATCAGCTGTTCGTATAGAAAAATGTGACTTTGGTGTTGATTGGTTGGTAGGCAGTTATTTCGAGTTCCAGATGTTCTATCCTTGCTTTGTTAATCCATGCCTTCACATCTATGACACATTCATCTCGCTCACCAATGATCTGTCTCATTGAGTAGGATATTTTCTCGACTGACTCTTGCCTGAAAATAAACTGTAGAAAACGAGTTATCTCCACACAAAAGTATGATTTACTTAATTTAGCCAAACACTCAGTCTACAGCTATGACTTCCATGAAATCAACTGAAACAAACTTACAGTGCTGATTGTCATCATCTGGGTGCTTTTTTAAAAAGAATTCCTGAATAACTAGTGATAAGCTGTAACCGGTGGAGCGCAACTTTATCATGTTTAACAGACGTAACAGATACCGTTGGATATATGCTTTGTAGTGTATACTTATATACCAAGCCTACATGGCTTGTCTCAGCCTTCGGACAGATTTGATTAATTCATCCTTCTAGAATTATCCATACGTCATTCGATCTTGTCAATGATTCCACTTATAAACTTGATAATATTTACTTGACTATGTGCGTCCATTGCTCGCTTAACTCATCACAAATCTACCCTATTTTGTCTAATGATAAACAGCTAGTTATTCCTTATTATATTGAGCTGGTCTCTATTTTCTCCTCATATCTGTCTGACTAATCAGTTGCATGGAAATAGACTCGTCCAATTCAATCCGTATACAGCTTCTTATTTGTGTCATTGCATAAACGGGGCAATTGAAAGAAAGATTTATTACATAGCCTATTCACTTGTTCTGTCGAATCGAAGTCGAATACTGAACTACTACTTCATTTACAACCATACAGTCATTCTTTTAAGAGTAACAAAAATTGACAAGTTGATCAGTAAAACATTTCACTATCAATCTTTTTTTCACTCACTGTTGAATAAGGCACTTTAAGCAGTTTTAAAGTCTATCAGAATGTGGCACCATCTTAATGCCCTATATTACAGGTATGAGGGCGGTTATCACTTCCCGGCTGCCCACACCATGGAAGGTTGTGGGCAGGTTGCCCTTTATTATATAACTGTAAAAACTATCATTGGTTGAGTATGTTGTTCTATTAAAAAATAAACTTTATTTTCTCAATTATTCTAATATAATTGAACATTGAATTTCGTCTTTTTTGTTTTAATTATCTCAAACTGATTTTAGGCGGTTTGTTTGTTTTTCTGTTTAATGCAAATATTTTAATTTGTTAGCTATTTTATTGCAATTAGATATACATGTATAAATGTAGATACATATATATGATGTTTTTAATTGGCAAACAGTTAGTTGTATTCTCATGAGTTTAATTGGTTTCTCACTTCATTTAAACTATACTTCCGTTTGTTAATTTTCGAACTAATCAACCTCTCTTTTTATAAGCAAGCATTTACTCAAATTATCATTTATTAACTTGTTAGCCGTAGAAATACAGTTAATTAACACGAAATCAATTCACTTGAAACAAGAATTCATTACAAATATTTTCATAGATTTCATAATTTTTATTATAATACCCTGTGATGGATGTAAGCTCACTAGTTCTTTGGCTGTCGATACTCGATATTATTCCTAAACGTCGTTTACTGTTCATCCTGATAACCATTACTAGATAACGATCAATGATGTTTACAATTCAGAAGACGAATACAAAGCGTCGATTACGTAACCGTAGGTTTAAGAAGTGTAAAAGATATGTGACTGCCGAACAGCAAGCAAGCGACCGAGCGAGCCAGTGAGTAGAATTAAAATGTATACATATATATATATATATATATATATATATATATATATATATATATATATATATATATAGAAAAATTAACGAGATCGACATTAAAGCGAGTAGAATGAATATTCATGAAGGCGGTAAGCAACGCTCAGTCACGATTGCTCATACAAACGTGACATTAATTAAAGCACATTCGCACAAATAAGTTGTTTCTTTACAAATTACTGTCCGTTCAATAAAATAATCAAAAGGGCTTAAGTAAACTTAATTTTAACAAACTCAAATGTATGTGTGGTATACTATATACTTATGTGTTATGATGCATGGTGTCCACGATATGACAGCAATACGTGTCAACCGCCCCTGTAGCAGAAACTTGTTACTTGTCATCCTTTCTAGTTCTATCCAGTAGTTGCTCATGTGTTCTTTGGTCTTCGGTTGGCCTTGAGGACAGCAAGTGGTAGCTTGTCCTTGTGATGTAGATGGGTATTTGCTCATTGTGTGTCCTATCCACTTCCAACGCTTCTTTCTGATTTCTTCTTCGGCTGGATTAAAAATTTATTCATCTTTATCTTACATTTCTAACCAGTGACATGCATTTTTCTCTCTCATACAACACATGTAACTATATTTTGGTCAGTAGTATGTGGTTATTAATCGGTTTATGTCTTAAGAATGTATCAAAATTCGTCTTCTGTTTATTTACAAGAATCCTAGTTAGACCATCATTAGAAACCTGAAAGCACTGAACAGCCGTTTTATCCCGGTATGGGACTCATCATCAATGCTCATCCATCATGTCTGGATCACTGGACTGGCATCCAACGATGTTAATGTCTAACTCTGATAAATCTAAGGATTTTGTGCAACCACACACCGTTCGATGCCGGCTCAATGGTCCCGAGGTTAGACCTTTGTGAGCAAGACCATAGGTCCTGGGTCCGAATCCTATGGGTAGCGACAGTCGTAGATGCGCACTGTTGATGAGTCTCATACCAGTTCGAAAAGGCCGTTCGGTGCATAGTGGTCTAACAGTGAGTCATTCATGGTTTCAATATGAAATAATTGTTCCCAACATTTTAGATTAGATCTATGATCACATAAAAAAGGAGGTTGATATTCAAAGTGAATAACTCAAGAATTGAAGAGAGTCAAGATAAATCTTAATATAAATATATTTACAAGTAAATTACTGAATTAACCAGAGATAAGATTCCAACATTCTTTCCTTTCAAATAAATACACCTACAACCAACTTCAAAGTTGAAAATACCATTTCTCCTCAGTTCATCTATATAAATGCTATGTTTGCCTTAATTAAAGTACATCCCGATATCGGCAAATGAGACAACAACAGGACAGTTTATCTGTTTTATGATGCCCAGCCTAACTAACCAGATCTAGGAGTTCAAGGTTAACAGGAAAATTATAAAATCCACAAGTCACCGCAACTGAACGATTCAATTCAAGCGTATTCAATGCAGTTCACAATACGTTCTTAGAAGAGTAAGAAAATAACTCATCAGAAGAGAAGACTGATTAACGACGTTTACAGTCCTTGCAAGTCGGATGCACAAACTGAAGGGACGCTTTTGGCTCGAAAACAGGAATTTCAAATTTCTAGAAATAAAATACCATAATTAAGGAGTTCACTAAGCGATTTCTAGTTACCTGATATCCTCAACAGTAGATCCATAAGATGACATTAACTAAAAAACTGACGAAAAGCAACTAAACTGATAAAGAATATCAATTAAATTATTACTACTCTAATTGTTTACCCAATGACCAGCATATTTTAGAAGGCGAAAAATTCACGTAAATATTTCAGACTACTTATAAGTAGGTATACAATATTACTCTGTAATTTAATGCTGTTCATTTTTCATTTTTATTTTTAGATTGAAAAATCCGTCCTTGAAACTAATTTACATTCATTAAAAGATTTAACTATTCAAGAAATTGAAAAGGTTAGTGGTTGCATTAAAATCTCCTATGATTCCATCTTTCATAAACTTGGCTTTGTTCTTGTCTCTACATTTAATGACTTTTATGTATAATCCTACCAGAAAGTGTTTCAGTAAATCAGTTAAAATCAAAATTCTCTTTCCAAAGATATCATCTTATTCATAAGTAGGTTAGTTGTCAATAGTAAACTAGAGAGAGAACTGTTATATAATCATTCACTAAAGTCAAACTTATTTTTCACCAGCGAATGTGGCGTTGCATAACCTGATCAATTCACTACTTAAAATCTTTTCAAAATCTTGATTACATGATGAAGCACACTTGTTCAAATTTCAATAATTTTCACCTTCAATGTACTTGTATAAGTTTGACTACCGTAAATGATGATGTCACAGTACTCTATTTTATTATGGGCAACCACATGTGAAAGCTAACCGATGAGCATGATTGTAAATCTTTGGAAAATAATATCTTTTTTCCGATTAAAGTCATGAAGATTAGTGTTTTTTACACAGTGAAATCATCAATCAGTCATTGTTAGACCACCATTAGAAACCTGTGAGCACTCTAATTTAAAAAATCGTGCTATGTCCTCACTACTGACTAGCTTCGTAAGGATATTTTCGGAGTTCTAGTGACAAGATATGACCTTTTGAGCTCAACCTTCTCATGTGTAGGCAGTAACTTCCAAACGCAAATAGGTGAGTTAGCGCGAAATCCCTACATTGATCAGAGTGAGACAGTGACACTGTCGAATGCCGGGCATCTCAGTGGTCTAGGGGGTTAGACTTTGGAGAGGTAAGACTGAAGTTCCTTGTTTGGATTGCTTTGAGTAGCAGTAGTCGTGGATGCCCAGTATAGATGAGTCCCAAACACGAACGAAATAGGTGTCCAGTGCTTCCAGATTTCTGATGCTGGTCAAACAATGATTGATTAATGATTTCAATGATATCTTTGTTAAGAAAAATTTTTTTACTATTACGTCTTCATTGGTCTCAATAAATTCTGGAATTACTGAACTCACATGATGACTAAAATTCTTGTCAAAACCTTTTGAAATGTAACATCAAGATTGTTGAATAGTTCGATGAAGGTGATGTCAGACTTATTTCATATTTTAATCAAAGACCACAACACTTAGTGTTCATTATCCATATTGATTTCTGGTGAATATTGTCAAAGTGACATTGATTTCATAATATTCGTGTTCAAGTTACATCTTAACGTCAGTTGACTGGACCATGGAACACTGGCTGCCAACGGATTGCTTTGAAATTCACTGTCTTGCTGAAATGACTGAATATTACAATGTTACAATCATGATATGTCATTGAAAGTAAACTAATGATTAGTTTCATGCCCACACGAAACAGATATGTCATTGCCGCTTGGTTGTCAATACTCATCTAATTCAAATGTCAGTGCTTAATGTAAAAACTTCAACAATTTAACAATTTTGACAAACTTTAATTCATGTTTCTGGTGACAAACAGAATGTACAATCTGTTATTAAGATGATAAGTGTAATAGTAAACATTAAAACAAGAAATAACATGTTAACATTAAAATAAAAAAATGTGTCAATATAAAGAGGTTGAAATGTGTTTTTAAAACATACATCATACATTAAAATTGTTGTACACGCATGAGAGTAGTTAAACTTGTCAAACTCGATTGCCTGGTTTAGGAAGGAAGTATTAAACAGTTGTTTTATTTTAGTAGTTGACTTTATAGACTTCGAGATCTCTCTGAAAAAACTGGTATTCGTGTACCTTGGAGTTGAAATCTATTATCACAAAGTTGGTTCTGTTCAACACTACTTACTTACTTACTCATTTACTTACTTACTTACTTATGCACTTAATTACTTACTTACTTACTTACTTACTTACTTACTTACTTACTTACTTACTTACTTACTTACTTACTTACTTACTTACTTACTTACTTACTTACTTACTTACTTACTTACTTACTTACTTACTTACTTACTTACTTACTTACTTACTTACTTACTTACTTACTTACTTACTTACTTACTTACTTACTTACTTACTTACTTACTTAATTACTTACTTACTTACTTACTTACTTACTTACTTACTTATGCACTTACTTACTTACTTACTTACTTACTTATGCACTTACTTACTTACTTACTTACTTACTTACTTACTTACTTACTTACTTACTTACTTACTTACTTACTTACTTACTTACTTACTTACTTACTTACTTATGCACTTACTTACCTACTTACTTACTTATGCACTTACTTACTTACTTACTTACTTACTTATGCACTTACTTACTTACTTACTTACTTACTTACTTACTTACTTACTTACTTACTTACTTACTTACTTACTTACTTAATTACTTACTTACTTACTTACTTACTTACTTACTTACTTACTTACTTACTTATGCACTTACTTACTTACTTACTTACTTACTTACTTACTTACTTACTTACTTACTTACTTACTTACTTACTTACTTACTTACTTACTTACTTACTTACTTAATTACTTACTTACTTACTTACTTACTTACTTACTTACTTACTTACTTACTTACTTACTTACTTACTTACTTACTTACTTACTTACTTACTTACTTACTTACTTACTTACTTATGCACTTACTTACCTACTTACTTACTTATGCACTTACTTACTTACTTACTTACTTACTTATGCACTTACTTACTTACTTATGCACTTACTTACTTACTTACTTATGCACTTACTTATGCACTTACTTACTCACTTACTTAAGTCTGTTCACTTTCGTAGCGAACAGGTAAATAACCATAAGTCTTCAAATGACTATACCCTGGGCTGTCCACTTGCTCCCAAACTCTATTCAATCTTTTGATGTCTGTTTAGAATTCCCGAAGCAATAACAACTTTGATCTGCTTCTTTTCCTTTGACTTCAAGGATTCCAAGTCACGGCTTGCCTTATAACGTAGTTCGGTGGTTTCCGCAACATGTTTGCTAACCGCCTCATGCGTTTCTCCCCTTAATTTTCTCTAGTTTGTTCTCTCCAACGGTAGGTTGGCGTTAATGTTCAAAAATGGTCAATAGAGTTTCAAGAATCTGTTTGAAAGTAAGTCATTAGAATATATATGGCATTGTTGATGGTGGCCGAACCAAAAGATGGCACAAATTCATAAATTCTCTGACAACTGGACTGAGTCATGTTGGTAGATGCAAACTACCCGGTTGAAGTCTATGAGATGACAGTGATCTATGGTTAGAGACCTTAAACGACATGTCTCAAAATCGTTTGCATTGGCGCAGGTGCATCCACTCGTTATGTTCTCTTTCAAATTCTAATCTAAACTCCTCATCACCTCAATCTTTCTCGTCTCAAATCGATTTCACTGTATATACTTCTTGAATACTATTTGCGGGATATGATCTTTCCGATTACTGGTCATACTTCTACTACTTCTACCACTATAGGAGTTCAAATGACAGTTGCATCCCTGTGCCAACGTGGTATGGCAAACTGAACTGATGTTGTACGTACGTACGATGTTCTACTGCAGTGAAGGATAACACAGGTGGGGCAACCAAATCATATTTGACAAAAATTACAGAGTTACTCAGTAAAATCGGAAAACCATATCGTAAACGCTTAATTTGCAAATCTTCAATCGATCATCAATCCATTGTCTGACATTTCACACTATTCATGAATTTCATACAAATTCCATTGTGTTCCCACTCTTCTTCCTTTCTTGATCTTACCCCATCTTCTGCTGCCAGACATTACGTTGACACTCACGTCATATACTACTTATAAGTAGCTCGCACCACACTACGTTGTAACTGACTGACTAAGTTGATTTACATTTATTTATGAAAAACTTTGTTTTCACCTAATCATGTTTTAAAACTAGTCATCTCCTCTTTAATCACACTAAACAATGCGCCTTTACTCCAAAAAACTAAAACATTTCTTGCATATTATTTTACAAACTAACACCTTTACAATTTGTTGGGCAACAAATTTTTACTGATATTTCCATCTATTTTAGCCAGTTCTACTGAATGTCCTTCAAAAATTGTTGAATAGTGAACAATTGGAACCATTGAAATCCAGTCAAATGAAATCTTTTTTCATGAATCTTGGATCTTTCACAAAAGAAAACGCTACTACAACTAGAGATAATCATCATCATCATAATGATTCCACTGTTCATGTTTACATTGTCCTTGTTTTATGGTCAATGCGTGCAACACAGTCTTCAAACAGTGAAAATATTGTTTGCATTGAGTAAGTTTTGAAAATAGTTTAAAAGTAGGCCGATATTGTGTTGAAACTTGCCAAGTTACGCCGAGGTATATTTATTCACACACAGTAAACAGAATAATCACTGATAACTGAGGTCATGAATAGTTTCATCTATCTGTCTATTAGAAAAGTGGTTTAGTTTAAAAAGACAGTAACTGACTGAGAGCTAATACAATATGCAGAATACTTACTGTTAGTTAGAGAGTTCAAGTTTGTCGAAAATGGTTTGAATTACTTTTTTTTCTGGTCAGTTATTAGAGATGTTAGATCTCCGGAAATCGCTTGATAAATATCTTTATTTTGGATTCTGTTCATGGGTTGATCAGTTGACCTTGAGATCACATTTCCCACCAGGAAAATCCTTGGCTGTGATTGGTTACTGTGTCATCTTAGTGTGCTATTTTTGTGGCTGTCTCAAGGACGTCTCTATAGAGTATAAATAAATGCATTCGGATTGCTTGGATTCATTGTATGCTGGTTGGGTGTGTGTAGAATACAATTTCTACACTATGTCAAGACTTCTTGTTGATTCAGTTTGGTCAAGGAATCACAGTAGCCTACTTGGACGTTGGTTCATTGTTCTGTTCTCGTTATTCGACTTAGGTGAACTCGTAATAGTTTAAGCATACCTAGGGAGAACGTAACATAAGTAATTTTTTATCGAGTTAGTTTTCTACAGAATATGGTCACTAAACCCATGTACAACTATCCTTCCTCATCCAGGCTTTGGAAATGGCAGTAACTCCAAGGGAGGCTCTGGGGGAAGTTTATCGAAAATGAAGGAAAGATTGTTTTAACTGAAAGCTAACTGTGAGACAAGCTCCCCTGTAGGCTCAACGTATATTTGTACACATACTACAAACCTATAAATCATTCAGAGGTTGTTTAGTTCAACACGAAAGATAAGTACTTCCGATAGATAAATATTAAGTGTTTTGACTACAATTCAGTCTCTTGGCAAATATCACAGTAACATGAATGTACAATCCTATTAATTAATTCTACAATACGGAGTTATGGAGACTGTTGTTGACATCATGAATCATTGGAAAATCGTACAATATAGTTCACTAGTGACTAGCTAGCTTCGTGACGAAATTCTCGAAGTTCTAATGAGAAGATGTGACCACTTGAGCTCATCCTTGTGTTGGGATATTCATCCAATATCCTAAGAGAATTATTGGTCAATTCCTATTGGTTAATTCCTACTGGTCAATTTTATGGTCATCCTAGTAGATATCAATGTTACGTGCCCCAATGTTGTTTCTTATTGGTTGTCTTGACTATCGATGTCACTTCAAATGTTGCTTCCGATTGGTCCCTTTACTTTCAATGTCACAGACTTCGATGCTGTTTCCTATTCGACCAAAATGTATAAATACGCATTATCTGTTTTATGACCAGGACCAGGACCCGGTCCCGGATCCCTAGTCTGGGATCCTCATTCCCTTCTGGATTCGGACCTCGTACTTTCTGGATGCTTGTAGAATACGGATTCTACTCCACATTCAAGTCTTCTTATTTTTACTCACTATGGGGGGGTTGGGATAATCGGATTTGAGTAGCATATCGTGTCACCGGATCCTCAATCCTCGCCCTCGTTTTCCGACTAAGGGGTAAACTCGTAATATTTCAAGTATATCAAGTTGACGTGTTTACGTACAGGCGTAACACTTTGTCGGGTGGTTGAGGTCTCGCAAATTGATTAGAGTTAGACATTAACACCACTGGGTGCCACCCTAATGGTCCAGAGGTTAGGTGTCCTAGCTTTGAATCTTGCGGGAATCGTGGATACGCATTGCTGATGATAACAGACAAAAGAGCCGCCGTCTAGTGCTTCCAGGTCTATAACAGCGATTTAACAATGACTAACTAGTGATTAGTAAATTTATGCTGCATAATGCTCCATATCCTTAAATCATTGAACAATAAAAACCTTTAATAAATAACAAACTTAGGTGAATACACCTTACCGGATGATACCTTGAATAGATGATAGACTATTGAACAATGAACCCGATGAATTTTAATATTGATAATTGAATTGAAAAAAATGATTGTTTGTTTGTTTTTAAAAAAATTATTGTTATGTAAAAATAAGTTCGAAATACCCTTCATACACTTTTGATGACCTTAGTATGTCAATTTTAATTTTATTTATCTATGTTTTTATTTATATTTAATTATAGTTTACAACAAACGAAACATAATAAAATAATTGACCTATTATTATTCAATGTGTACAAGGAGAAATTATTGAATAGTTATAAATTACAATATTTCAATGATTTGAAATTGTTTAACAATGTAAGTTTAAAATTATGTTTTGATTTTATGCGTGTAATAAATGTGAATGATGAGATTAGCTGAAGGAAAAACTCCTGCCTGGAGTCCTTCTGGGGTTGCGGCCAGTCCCAAAGTCCGGATAAAGGAGGATGGTTGGGTTTTGGGAGAAAATTAACTCGCTAAAAAAACGCTAACCAGAAAAATAATTCACCTGAACTGAAGGAAAGATTTTTGATAAATGGCACTTGTCAGTAGAGTGTCCCTGTAGTTGTGAAGGAATTTATCATTTCAGTAAGATTTGAACCTTCGTTAATGCTAATGGAGCATAGGCTGCTGACTACCATTTCCCAAACAACTCTCTGCTTTCCAATTGTTCTCGAGTGATATTTATCCTTTTTGTTTCTAACTCTGATTACCAGTGCAAAATGCACTTTTGGTCTGCCCCTTTTCCTTTGGCTTTGAGGAATCCAAATGAGGGATCACCTAGTGATGTGGTTGAATGATTTATGCGATGTGTATCCGATTCCAGCGAAAACGCTTTTTTTTCTGATTCCTTCCTCAGCTGGAATCTGGTTTGTTCCCTGTCACTCAGTAGGTTGTTACTGATGGTGTCTGGTTAACGAATCCACAGTATCGTGCGTTGACTGTCTTTTGTAGTTTTCCAAGTTTCAGCTCTGTACAGTCTGTACAGTTAATAAAGTATAAAGTGCTTTGATAGAATGAACCAATCAAAAGTAATCAAAAGAGAAGGCCATTTAATGACTATCAGAAACTCTCCTGAAGTAAGAATGCATATTACTGTCAAGAAATGGCCTGTTTTTGTAAGGAAGTGGAATATATATGAGTAGAGACAAGTATTTGCACATATTATTAGGTAATGAAATAGACCTAATCTTTTGCTCTTCGACATCTCGCTCAGGCTCTCATTTTTCGGGGCTAGACAGGTGGGGTTTAGAACTTATCGCTTTCAGATCTCAGCACCGCACATCATGACATAGAGAATCGACATTTTTTTTCTGGTTAAATGATAAATTATAATTAATGACTGTTAATTTGAATAAAATTATCTTAAGATTTCAGTAGAATAACACAAATTGCTGACATTTCGAAGAAGGAAGCGTTTTTTTCCAGTCTACTCATCTGTTGGGGATGTTATATCCCCAGAACTCGCTTGATAAATTCCTTGTTTTGGATTTCACATTTGCGAGCATGGGTTGATCAGTTGACCTTGAGATTTCATTTCCCATCAGGGAAATCCATGGCTGTGATTGGCTGCTGTGTATTTTAGTGTGCTATTTTTGTGACTGTCGTAAGGACGTTTCCATGATGTATAAATAAACAAGAATTGTGTGCTTGATTGTATTGTGATTGCTGGGTGTTTGTAGAATATACTTTCTACGCTTACTAAGTCTTACGTTTTTCAGTTTTGGGATTCAAGGTAGCCTATCTGGACGCTGGTTCATTGTCTTGTTCGCATTTATCGACTAAGGTGAACTCGTAATAGCTTCAAGCGTACTTAGTGATGAACATAACATCATCTATGGATGAGGTTCAACTGAAAGCTCTGACGCTTCACACATTCAAACGTATTTGTAGATATATATGCATGGGGCTAATGAAGATTCCAATTACACCGCATGAAATCTTTTTACTCTTATTAATATGGATTGACCTGTATATCTCGATATGGCTGACCAAACCAAAACATGGCACAAATTCATGAAGTTAGTAGGTGTAGACTACCTTGTTAGGATGGATCCGTGAGATAATTGTAACCTATGGTTAGAGACTTTGAATGACATGGTGTAGCTGCGCATCCATTGTTTGTCTTCGCCTAAAATTCTAATCTTGTGAATTTCTCATCACCTTTTGCAATGAATTATTCTTCTTGAATAACATCTTCAGACACCAGTCTACTTATTCCGCTACTACCGATACCACTATGAGATTTGAATTGACAACTCCGTCTCTCTGTGCTAATCTGGTATGGTAACTTGAATTGATCTACTTGTGTACCAAGTTTTACGTTGTAGCAGACTGACTCTATCTCACTAATTGACTGTTTCACAAACTAGAATACTTCAAACAATGTAATTGGTTCTGTTCTAATGTGAGCCATTATTTCAACCTTTTACAATTTTATCGATGTCTACCTTTAAACAAAATTGAACTGAATTACTTACTTACTTACGCCTGTTAACCACAATCGAGCATAGGCCACCCACCAGTTTTCTCCAGCCAACTCTGTCCTGGGCTTCCCTTTCCAGTTCTGTCCAATTTTAGTTCATTCTTCTCATATCTTTCTCTATTTCTCGGCGTAATGTGTTCCTCGGCCTTCCTCTTTTCCTTTGACCTTGAGGGCTCCATGTGAGTGCTTGTCTTGTGACGCAGTTAGGTGCTTTTCGTAGTGTGTGTACTATCCACCAACTCCATCGCTTCTTCCTGATTTCCTCCTCCACTGGAATCTTGTTTGTTCTCTCACACAGTACGTTGGTGCTGATGGTTTCTGGCCAACGAACACGAAGTAGTTTGCGTAGAAAACTGTTCATTAATACATGCATCTTCTGGGTGATGGCTTTGAAAGTTATCCAAGTTTCCGCTTCATACAGTAGAACTGTTTTGACATTTGTATTGAAAATCCTGATTTTGGTGTTGATCGATATTTGTTTAGAGTTCCAGATATTTTTCAGCTGTAGAAATGCAACCCTTGCTATGCCGATCTGCGCCATCACATCTGCATCGGATCCACCTTGATTGTCGATGATGCTGCCCAGATATGCGAAGGTTCTGATGTCCTTCAAGGCATCCTCATCGAGAGTGATTTGTTTGGTGTATGTTGTGTTGCATCGGAGAATTTTGCTTTTTCCTTTATGTATGTTGAGACCAACTGCTGCAGAGGCTGCTGTTACACTGATTGTCTTCTCTTGTAGTATTTGTTGTTACGTGTGCGACGGGAGAACCTGTTCGTCTGCGAAGTCCAAATCGTCCAGCTGTATCCTAGATGTCCACTGAATACTGTGCTTCCCTCCAGATGCTGACCTCTTCATAATCCAATCGATCACCAGGAGAAAGAGAAAGGGTGAGAGTAAGCCGAAGGGTTTACAGTTATTGTACTGAAATGAACGGAAGTATTGAACTGAATACATTTTTAAAATATTTTTTTTAAATACATGAATGCGATCCACCTAACTTTAACACCAAATTTTATTTCTCTTTAGATTCTACATCAAGAAATGATACGTTTTAATTGTACAATCAATGAGAAAAATTTGTATGAAAAGGTTGCTGACATATTGAAGCAATTAGTTAAATGTGATTGGTGAGATTATATTTTTGTCAAGAATTTCGAATAAAAACTATTATTTTTAATTCATGTGAAATGATTAGTTTTACAAAAAAAAAACACAAAGTCTGTTGATTCGTGTTGTGAACTGGTAGAACAACAAAGATAAAAGTGAACAGTAAATTGCTTGCTGTCCTCCATTAGACTGACATCATGTTTTATTCTCTAATGTACATGTGTGTTTGTAGAGATCTATCAGGGTAATTTATTCCAAGTCACTGATGACAATGAAACAGAGATTACGTAACTACACATAATACGTGAAAAGTTCAGTATGACTGTAAGAAGACCGTTGTAAACCGGTTCAATCAGCTAAAGGTTAAGCGTTTGTGCACGAGACCTAAGATCATGGGTTCAATTTCCGTATGCAGGCATTGTGGATGTGCACTTCTGACAGGTCCTATACCAGCAAGAGACGGTCGTCTTTCAGTGCTTTCAGGTTTCTATTGATGATCTTACGTTGGTCGATTCATGAACTCAATGAAGGTAAAAATACTATGGTACTACTATTTGTGATGATAAGATTAACAAAATACGATCACAAAGGTTTTAGTCAACAGTTCAACATTTGAAGTAGTAGCATGTCAAACTTGGTAAAATAAACTTTAGAAGGATAATCACTAAACATTACATGAATTACGCAGTAATAAATGTGTCTGAATTTATACTTTACAGCTACTATGTAGTTACTCGCTTTCACCTGTTACCTTTAATGGATCATAGGCCACCGACCATCATTTCCCCGACCTTTCCCTGTCCTAGGCCTTTCTTTCTAGTTCTATTCAATTGATGTTCATTGTTCTCATGTCTGCCTCTATTTGTCACTGTGATGTGTTCTTTGGTTTTCTTCTCTTCCTTTGTTTGACATTGAGGGTTCTTCTAAGTGAGGGCTTTTCTCAATGTACGGCTTATCCATCTCTAACACTTCATCCTAATTTCTTCCTCCGCTGGAATATACTTTGTCCTCTCTTACAGTAGGTTGTTAGTGATGGTTTGCAGTCAATGGGTTGGAAGTATTTTGCGTAGACAACTATTAATGAACACTTGTATCTTCTGGATGATGGTTTTCTTAGTTGTACAAGTTTCTATTCTATACAGTAGAACAGTCTTGAAATCTGCATTGAAAATAGTGACTTTTACGTTGATTGACAGTTGTGTTTGAGTTCCAGATGTTGGTTAGTTGTAGAAACTTAGCCTTTGCTTTGCCGATCCGCGCCCTCACATATGCATCGGACCCACCTTGATTTTCGCCGACGATGCTGCCAAGATATGTAAAGGTTTCTACATATTCCAAAGTATCAACATCAAGATTGATTTGGTTGGCGCATACTGTGTTGTACCGTAGAATTTTGCTTTCCACTTTGTGTACGCTGAGACCTAATGCTGCTACACTGATGGTCTTCTCTTGCATTTGTTGTTGCGTGTGCGATAGAAGAGCTAGATTGTGAATCTGCATCCTAGCTGTCCACTGTATCCTGTGCTTCGCTGCAGATTTTGATGACTTCATAATCCATACTTACTATGTGTGATCATTGACTTACATTAAATTGCCTTGTTTGATTTAATATTTTGCATATTAACATTCTTATATATGTTAGAGTAAAGCCTGCTGACTATCATTTGATTAAGACCAGTATTGGTCGCTTATTCAAGTTTTGTTCTGTTTTTTTCGCATTGATACTTTTAACCTACAATTGAATAGTCGCATTTGGCGTATTAACATGGTTTGCGGATAACCTCTAAATCGTCTTTAGATTATAAGCTCTATCAAAAGAGATGGATACTGGCTAGCAGGGAATTACTGGAAGCCTGTTTCGATCTATTTGAGTGCACCTAATCACTTGTAAAGTATATCAACTTAAATTTTGTCACAGAATTTGTTTCTTATAAAATTTAAAGGGGTATCTGTTTTCGTTCTAGTATGGGACTCATAAGAAGTGCACATCTACAACCCACGTCCCTCAAACTCGCGTTTAAACGCCCAACCTCTAGAGCATTGAGCCAGCATTAAACAGTGTTAATGTCTGATTTTAAGCAATCCAACCTAACCTATTATCCTCCGTAGGTTAATGTATCACATCCGAAACGGTTGAAATCCACTGGTCATGACTTCTTCCGAGAAGTCCGATAATCCTCTCATGAAACTAGTCACTAGTTAACATATTTTATGGTTTCCCCTTTAGAGTTATGGAGATTGTTGAGTTTTATCGATAGTGGATGGTCTAGAGGTTTTGAGTTCAAGAATCCTGTTTTCGATTCTCGCTACGGTGTCGTGGATGCGCCCGGCTGATGAGTTTCATACTAGAACGAAACAGTTGTTCAGTACTTTCTTCTAAATCAGATAAGGATTCCTAAAAAATCTATCAGAAATGGACACTAGAACCAATCACTTGTAGATAACTGATCACAACGTATCATGTACATCATGAGACATCACTGTCATACAATGTATAGTCGTGCGCATACACTGATAAGAGCTTGCAAACCAAGAGTGATATCAATTCGATTTGACTATTTTTATTCGCGGTGACAAATATACATTTATAAACTTGATATGTATATATATATTTTTTTAAATAGTCAACAGTTTGATTTAAAAATGTGTCTACAATTCTACTAAACTTTAAATTATATTTTCATTTTATAAATAATATTGAATATTGAACGAAGTATTTCAATGTATCGTTTTGATCACAATGAAAAAGAATGGATTGAACAATTGAAATATTATCCAATAGAAAATCAAGTGAGTTGATTCAATTTTAAGTATGATAACAAATTTAAAATGTGTATAAAAAATGAAGATAACTCTCAGAAGCCCTACACACGGTTCCTTAAAGATGCCGAAGAACTGTCTCATCCAGTCACACACAGCTCGATGGAATTTTTAGATTAGTGACGTAGCTGTAGTTTAGATTTAGTTTAGGGTTAGTAGAAGCGGATAGAAAATTAAATCTGGCATTTGGGCTTATCTGTGATTCCTGTCTGACAGAGATTTATTTCGTTAGTAAATATATATATTCACCTGTTACTCCGCAATGTAGCATAAGCCACCGACCAGCATTCTCAAAAAACCAACTCTGTCCTCAACCTTCCTTACCAGTTCTAATCAGTTGATGTTATTCGTTCTTTTCAAGTCTCCTTCGAATTCTCAGTATCATATATTCTACGGTTTACCTCTTTTCCTTTGACTCCGAGGATTCCAAGTGAGGGTATGTCTTGTGACGTAGTTTTGGGCGCTTTTCCTCAAAATGTTTTGTGGTGTAGTAGTAGGTTGGAAGAAAGTTAGGGGCGGCCAGGCCAAAACATGGTCAAAATCTATGAAGTCACTGACAAGTGGACTGAGTCATGTCGGTAGTTGTGGACTACCTGGTTGGAGTCCGCGAGAGGAAAGTCACCCATGGTTAGAGACCTTGAACGACATGACTGAGAATCGTTTGCAGTGGCACCGGTGCATCCATTCTTTGTGTTCTCTCTAATTCTAACCTTCTGAATTCCTCATAATCTCTACCTTTCTCCTTCTAAATTTATCTCACTGGATTATACTTTTCGAATCATATCTTCGCTCCTTAATCTTCTCCATTACTGCTAATACTTCTTCTGTCACTATCACTCTTGGATTTGAACTGACAATTGCGTCTCTGTGCTGACGTGGTTTGGCAGCCTGAACTGATGTACTTATGTACGAAGTTTTTTTTCTGATAACCAAGACTAACTCTGTCAGTTTAAACAGAAACACCTTATTCACTTACCTTCCGGAAGAATGATAAGATTTTTGTACATTTTAGGTAGTTGAAAAAAGACGATGGAATCAATCACCATGGATGTTTGAAAATATTATACAAGAAAGTAAGCGATGCGCATATAAACAAACGCCTATTGATTCTTTATGTGTATACATTTAATCAGCTGTTTAATTCAGTGTTATTTTAGATGGTGAAGAAACTTTGTAGCACCAGTGAATGATTGTGGTAAAGTTTCGTTCTCTGAAACCGTGATATTTTGGTTGTGGAGCTTTCATTGTTTTTCTCTGCTGAACAACATCATCATCGGCACAAACTTCAGATAGAAGAAGTGACTTATTCGAATATTTCATTGTAAAATTAAAAAATGTACTCACTAGTGACTAGTTTTGTGGGGCAATTGTTGGAGTTCTAGTGGAAAGACGTGAACAGTTGAGTTCAACCATGTCGGGTGTAGGCAATTACCTACTGAGGATAATGTCTGTGGTTGCTCAAAAATCCTTATATAGATCAGATTTAGAGATTAACACCGTTTAGATGCCTGATCAGTGATCCAGAGGTTTGACGATTGCGTGCAAGACCGAATGTACTACGTTCGAATCGTGCGAGTATCAGGAGTCGTGGATGTGCACAGTGAGATCGAAGTGTCTGGATTCACTTATTAGTTTGGAATTGATAAAGGCTCATACTAGGATAAAACAGTTGTCCAGTACTTCCATGTTTTCAAAAGGATCTCAAATTTAGGTCAATCTGCGATATCAATCCCTACGACGTCAATGAAACATTTAGCAGTTTCTGTTTACTGAATAATTTATGTGTAGTTCTAATACAACTTGATATCTATTAAAAATTATATCACAGTTTAATTTCGTTCCTAAATGATAAGTTTATTAAATCAAAACCAAAGTGACCTTCAGTATGATCAATATGTGGTTGGCATTATTTTCACACTTCACTGTTAACCATGAGCAAAAAATTACCTTTAATTTTGGTGATATTACACTAAATAGAGATACATCACTTAAAAGTTACATGTTACAACAACGGATGCTAGGTATGGATGGCATATCCACAGATGAAGTAGTGAATCTTTATCAGTTAAGGTGGTTGGAACATGTGTTACGAATGCCTAAATAATGACTGTCTAGACGAACAATGTTTTGTGGTGTAGGAGTAAGCTAGAGGAAAGCAAGGGCCGGCCAAACCAAAATATGGCACAAAGTCACGAATTCACTGACAACTTGACTGAGTCATGTCGGTAGGTGTCGACTACAAGGTTGGAGTCTGCAAGATGACAGAAGCCGATGGTTAGAGACCTTGAACGACATGGTTAAAAATCATTTACAATGGCTCAGTTGCATCCATTCTTTGTGTTCTCCCAAATTCCAATCTAAACTCCTCATCACCCTCACCTTTCTCGCCTCAAATTTATTTCACTGGATTAGACTTCTCGAATAACATCTTCAGACCCTAATCTTCTCGATTTCCGCTCATACTTCTACTACCTCTCTCACAAATGACAATTCGATCTCTTTGTGCTAGAGTGTTATGACAACCTGAAGCTGATGTAAGTACATACGATGTTCTACATTGTTGCGGAGTGATTAACTGGAGTTATAAACTCTTTATGGCAATCGATTTATGCTGGGGATGTTAGATCCCCAGAACTCGTTTGATAAATATCTTTATTTGGATTTAATTCATGGACCGATCAGATAACCTTGAGATCACATTTCCCACCAGGAAAATCCATGGCTATGATTGGTTACTGTGTTATTTTAGTGTGCTATTTTTGTGACTGTCCCAAGGACGTCTCTATAGAGTATAAATAAATGCATTCTGAGTGCTTGGATTCATTGTATGCTGGCTGGGTGTTTGTAGAATACACTTTCTACGCCATATCAAGACTTTTCTCTTCAGTTAGGGCAGCGGATAAGAGTAGCCTACCGTGTCACTGGTTCATGGTCTTGTTCTCGTTTACCGACTAAGGTGAACTCGTAATAGCTTCAAGCGTACCTAGTGATGAACTTAACAATATATTAACTGTTTTTATTTGAAAGTTCTGTAGAATTTTTGTGACTTATTTAAAAACTTATCAAAATGATATATTCACAAATTTTTTATGTCAATTTCATGTTGAACAAGTGTTTATTTTTTCCTTAATCATAGAAATCAACAATGACATAAAAACCGATTCGATAGATTCTATCATTCAATCTATCAATCGACTTGATTTAAAGTGAGTTATGATTTCCGATTTGATATTCTTCAATAGAGTAAACCCATAACTTTAAATGAAAGAGAGTAAGTGTGTTGGGGACGTTAGATCCCCAAAACTCGCTTGATAAATGCCTTATTTTGGGTTTCACGTTTGCAAGCATGTGCTGATCAGTTGACTTTGAAATCACATTTCGCACCAAGATAAGCCTTGGTTGCGATTGGCTGCTGCGTATTTTAGTGTGCTGTTTTCGCAACTGTACCAAGGACGTTTCTATGATGTATAATTAAACGAGAATTGTGAGCTTGTTTGTATTGTGAATATACTTTCTACGCCACATCAAGACTTTTCATTAGTCAGCAGATCAGGGTAGCCTATCTGGACTCTGGTTCATTGTCTCGTACGCGTTTATCGACTAAGATGAACCCGTAATAGTTTCAAGCATACTTAGTGACGAACCTAACAAAGTGTATGACTTTTGAGCATTCCTATCAAGTCAAGATCTCATAAAGTAGATTTCCTACTTTAATTCATTAACTGATGAACAATATCACAATGTACGACGACATGTATAATTGACTGTATTCCCAACTGTCATACAGTTTGACCACTATTAGAAACCTGGAAGCAGTGGACGGTAATTTCGTCCTCGTAGGGAATTCATCGGCATTGCGCATCCATAACTCTCGGTACTCACGGGATCTGAACTCAGCACATTTGATCTTGCACGTGAACGCCTAACCTCTGAAGCGAAACAGGACGAAGAGGCCGTCCAGTGCTTCCTAGTTTCTAATAGTTATCTAAAAATAATTGATTGATGATCTCAACGTGTAAAAACAGAGATCTCCATATAACTATGACGCGAAATCAAAAAATGTGATCACTGGTGACTAGCTTCATGAGGAAATTCTTGGAGTTATAGTGAAAATACCTGACCATTGGAGTTCAGCCCTGTCGGCATTAGGCAGTAACTACCATGGATAATGAGTGAGGTTGCGCAACATACTTAGATCGACTAGGGTTAGACATTAATGACGTTGTGTGCCAACCCAATGGTTCAGAGGTTTAGCGTTCTTGTGCAAGATCGAAGGCCTCGGGTTCGAATCCTGTAAATAATAGGATTTTTGGATGTGCACTGCTGATAAGTCCTTTACCAGGACGAAACAGCTGTCCAGTTCTGCCACGTTTCGACTGGTAGTCTAACAATGATCGATTCATCAAAACAATTTCATTCAATAGGTAAAAATTTTGAATTCCTTTGTTTAGGGACTTTAACGTCATGACCACTGTCAAGCTGGTCTCCAGAAACACTGAGACCAAACGGATAAAAAACATTCAACTGTACAACTGTTTGTCATCTGCTTCACGATGGTCATGACACTGAAGTCCCTAAAGTAGTTCACTGCACTGTCAATTACTCAACAGTGTTATGCCTCTTCTTCATTTCAGTGTATATTTCATCGATTTGTTCTTGAATCATACAAACTATTCAACAATTGTAGAATTTCGTAAATGTAACGACAATGAAAATCATCGATTTTCAAAATATGATAGATATTTATTGTCAAATTATATCACTGATTTCTTGTTGATTATTATGCCTCAAGTAAGTTGAATTAAATTTCATTTTACACGTATTAAATGTTTTTAAATATGATTGACAAAAAAAATAGAAAATGCATTACGGCGTCGTGAAGATTGTCAAGTTACACATTTTCGAAACCATGAGGAGGAATCTTCTCCGAGTTCTAGTGGGAAGACGTGACCACCAGTGAAGTTCATCCGTCTTCGGGTGTAGACAGTAACTACTACCGAAGACTGTGTATGAGGTTGCACAACTCCGTGAATTGATCAAGTTAGACATTAACACTGTTAGATACCGGCTCAGTGGTCCGATGGTTAGGGGTTCGCGCACAATACTGAAGGCCCTGGGTTCGAATCCTTCGGGGTGCAGGAGTCGTGGATGCGCACTGCTGAAGAGTCCTATACTAAGACGAAACGGCCGTCCAGTGCTTTAAGGTTCCTAATGGTGGTCTAACATCGATCGATTCATGGTTACAAATATTGACATAGCGATGTCATTAACGGGTATCGTCGACAGTGCCTGTATGAAGTCGTACATAAATATGCTTCACACTTCACAGATTCCTCATGAAACTTTGCTGATAGTTCGTGAACTTAGTCAATAGTAAGTAATTAACTAAGTAATTATTTGATTGTTCTTCATTAAAAGAAAAAAATTATTTTTTGGTTTCATTTCAATAATTATTTGTTTTTGTTGCAGGTTCACTTAAACAATGAATTATACATTATGCGAAATAAAAATGAATTGAACATTGAACTGGTTGCGTATCATATGAAAGTAAGCGGAATAATATATCTGTATTTCATGTGAAAATTTATACAGCATTCTCTTCTTGACTGAAATATAAACATGTTTATCAGGACTCTGACTTTATTAAGTCAAAAATCCTCAGATTGTATTCTCCAGAAACGTTGAAGCATTAAATGGTCGTTTGAGTTTAGTATGGGACTCATAAGCAGTGCACATCCACGATACCGACTCACAGTAATCGAACACAGAACCTATGATTTATGAATAAGTTTAAGCTGTGAAAATAAAAACAGAGAGTCTGTATGAACACCAATCAGATTATCGTCATCGATATGTTTTTTAAACTAATTAGGCTAGAAGCTGACCAAGTTAAAAGGAGCTACATGTACATCTCTAGCTTTTTGATCAGAACAGGCATTGCTTCAGCTATCTCAAGGATTCTTAGTTTGACGGATTTTGGCAGACTGCTGTATTAATGTAAGCGGTCGCTCAATATTGGATGCGTGTCCCGTTTGTACTCAGTAAGTTAGAGTTGAGATGTTAGCAAATCTAACCATACGTGTGCCTAACCATACTGAGAGGTGCTCATGAGTACGAAAATACACATTCTTAGAACATCTGCTGATGTAACTTGATAGATACAGGAAAAAGGGACTTATCAATCTCGGAGTAACTGTTAAACGAGTGGATAATATTAATTGTAGTTTAGCTGCATTTGCGCATCGAAGTTGATGAGTAGAAATCAGATATGCCCGATGGCAGTTAAGCTTCCGGATGCATATTGGCCTAACTGAAGACAATCGTTAGGAGTCTCCTACCCCGGTTTAAACTCTACACCATGACATAGTGTGAAGAGGGAACTACATAGGGTCTAACGGCACACAACGCTACTTATGTACAGCTGTTTCCCTGAGAGACTGCTCATGACCGCCTTGGGATATATGGCTTTTTGTTTTGACTTTACCCTAGCTATAGCCATAAGCTTCCCACTCACAACATCAGCACCTTGCTTTTAGACAATTTCCGAGGAATGTGCGACGTTTAGTCATAGCAATATAAGGGAACCAGGTAGAGGTAGTCGTCAGAGCAACCACAACTTGCGGAGGTCTTCATTTATGCTTGATATCGGATGACGAGATATTCAGCTAATTCTGCGTCAACCGATATGCCTGCAGTATATGCATGTATGCCGATTCTACACAACACGAGATTCACAAGACTGTCTTTACTCATAATCCCTACTGCCTTAGGGTATGCAGATGCTGTCTAGTTTCTCTCGCAGGTCAGTCAGTTATTAAATTAGTGTACGCATGAGCAGTCACTCCTGTATGGGTGCTTATGAACAAACTAGATCCCTCCAATCAAATCACTTTCCCACTTTCCTCACTCGGTTATGGCATTAAGGCGAGAAAACCCAGCCAGACATGGCACCCTGTGCAGGTTGCCGAGCCGCCTAGCACTGCTCTGGTCAGCAGACAATCCGACTAATTGGTATCCAACTCCCTCATGCATAGGGCAATCGACCGGAGCCCCCGAAAACCCTACATAAAGCCAAGGATCGATTATCTCGATGTCATGTACTCGACCGAGCTCAAGCACTCAGCCAGACTGGACTAATCCCACGACAATAGTGTGGACAGACATTAGATGCGATCAAGCACCATTCAGTGCACGATCCCATCCACACAAGTGGAGACCCTATTTTAAGGGGCCCCGACTCCGATCGGCACACTACATCGAGGCATAGAGTGTTCGGAGCAACCACACAAGGTTGGGGGTCCGTAGTCCACTACCCAGAACAAATCGTCCAGGGTCGTTTTAAGAAAGCTGGAAGTCTACGCCCCTTTTTTAGGGTATTTGCGATTATCGGAATGACCATACGCCCAAATCTTCTTCTTTATGACTGGCAGTAACCCTAGAAGGGCCTTAGACAAAGTATATATGTATATATAACATTATATATTTCGATAGATTTAAAGATGTAAAACATTTTTCTCAAGAATCGATTCTTATTTTCTCATGTTAGATCCCACCTAATGAAATCGCTCAACTAGTTAATCATAAATTGGAAAATGTAACAGAATTACATCCAAATTTCAATGAAATAGATTTTCTTGCACGAAGTATCAGTGAGAATGATTCAACAGTAGTAAGTTTATTAAATGATTATATATTTTTAATTTGTTTATTAAATGATTTGAGAGAAACATTAAATTCCAACATGGTAATACTTACTTACTTACTTACTAACTTACTTACTTACTTACTTACTAACTTACTTACTTACTCAGGCACACTGTAGTGTCGAAGAAGCCTCCACAGTGTTTTCCTATCCACGCTATCGAATGCTTTCTCGTAGTCGATGAAGTTGATGTAGAGTGGTGAGTTCCATTCAATTGATTGTTCCACAATGATCCGTAATGTAGCAATTTGGTCAGTACACGATCGATCCTTACGAAATCCAGCCTGTTGATCTCGAAGTTGGGTGTCTACGAAGTCCTTCATTCTGTTTAACAATACCCTGTTGAAGACTTTGCCTGATATTGAAAGAATAGTGATGCCTCTGTAGTTCTCACACTTGCTCAGATCGCCTTTCTTTGGTATTTTGATCAGGTATCCTTCTTTCCAATCTGATGGTACTTGTTCCTCATCCCAAATCATCTTGAAGAGGATGTGAAATATTTTCGCAGTTGCTTCAACATCTGCTTTCATTGCCTCTGCTGGAATGTTGTCTGGTGCTGCTGCTTTGCCTCTCTTGATTTGTCTGATGGCCATACTTATCTCCTCAATCGTAGGTGCTCCAACATCGATTGGGATGTCCGTGGATGCTGCGTCGACTTTGGGTGGGTTCCGTAGAGCTGGTCGATTCAAGAATCCCATAAAGTGCTCTACCCACCTATTTCGTTGTTCTTCAGTGTTGCTGATTACTTTGCCTTCCTTGATTTTCACTGGTCGTTCTGGAACATGGTAATAATCATAAAAATAATAATAATCATAAAATATTCCACTGAGCGAACAAGAACCAAATGCAAAGTAATCAATTGATTTATACTAGCTCGTGAAAAAGATATTGGATATCTTTGAGATATTAGAAAGCTTTTCATATAATTTATCTTGATAAACATGAATCACTCCTAGTTGGACCACCATTAGAAACCTGAAAGCATCACCGTCACGGCTTCGCACTAAAAAGCCCGGAAATTTCTCACGAAGCCAGTCGCTAAAGAGCTGTGACCAGTGGAATTCAACACTGTCAAGTGTAGGCATTAATTACGGAATACAGTGAGTCAAGTTGAGTAAAACCTTAGACTTATCATCCGTAGATAGATCTATGGTTTAAGCGTTTGCGCAAGAAACCGAAGGTCCTGTGTTCGATTCCCGGGAGCGATGTTTTGTGGATGTGCTCTACTTATAAGCTCTAAAAGAAACATGCTCTATGCAGATGAGGTGATATCAATATATCACAAACGTACAAAAGAAATTATTATCAGAGGTGAATAATGGCCATCTGTGGAATTCAGGACTTACGTTACGTCCTAGATTTATGACTTGTCCGCTTTTTCAAAGTTGATGTTCACTCCAACAGTGGAACCCAATACCAGTCACTGGGTTAATATTAGTCAAACATTGATCAAGCCAGCAAAATAAACGTTTTAATATGGAAACACTAAATGAATTATCAAGGCCACTAAATGGTGTTTCTTCTGAATGTGACCAGTCCTTTTGGCGCAACACTAATCTAAGACAGAGCGTGAAAATGTTGCAAAGGTGTAGCGAGAAATTTTTTTCACCAAGTGAACACTTGGACGAAATATCCAAAACCAATGCAAAACCTGTGTTCTCCATGAGAATCAGTCCTTCAGGAGTCTCGGCCAATGTTAGAAGTACAACGGAGACCGATAACCTGGAAATAATGAGAAGAAGAGTGTTAATTTTGTAAGTTTTGAGTTAGTCCTGTAGGCTTCAATAAAAAATATTAGGAAATACAAATCGTTTCACTCCAAGATAATGGGAAACTTTCTGCTTCACAAATAATTTCAAACAATCAGATCAGTTACATCAGTCGAATTTCGCCTTCATCCTTAAAAATAATCTAAAATAGATCCCTTGTATCTGGTGATTTATGACGGTTGAGAAGTTAAAATTTCTTACAGACAAGCTTTGAACATTTTCAGTTGATATTACTGGGATAGTACACAAATTATACCCTACCTAGAAGTGCTCTGGACAGCTTAGAAGAAAACTTTGAAAATAATAATTTGGGTCGTATATGTTGGGGACGTTAGATCCCCAGAACTCACTTGATAAAGGTCCTAATTTTGGATTTTAATGCTTTCAAGCATGAGCTGATCAGTTGACCTTGAAAATACATTTCCCATCTGGGAAAATCCTTGGTTGTTATTGGTTGATGTATTATTTTAGTGTGCTATTTTGTGGCTGTCCCAAGAACGTTTCTTTCATGTATAAATAAGCTTGATTTGTGTGCTCGTGAACCTCATATTTTCTGGGTACTTGTAGAATACACTTTCTACGTCTTGTTAAGACTTTTTTTTCTACTTGTGGCGCTCGGATTAGAGTAGATTATTGTGTTACTGAATCATTTATATTCACTGTCGTTTACCGACTAAGGCGAACTTGTAATAATATTTTCAAACTGAAACTCTCTGTTACAACTTGTGATAACATTTCACGTCACTAATGTATTGAAAGTATTTTTTTTCCTAAAAATTGAATCCACTTAAAAACTCATACAAAAACAACTGAAACAATTCATCCAACCTTATCACTTGTAACTTTTGCAACTTCTTGAGCTCAAAATTTGATTAGAGTACTGTGGTTTGAATGATGACAGTTGATTCAAATTTCACCTCCCATATGAATGTTCTGTGTACCGAGAAACCATAACTGTTTGACAGATTTAATCGAATAATTGCCTTCCAGGAATTTGCAAATGCAAACAAACGATTAGAAGGTTCAAGTCAAAACAAACTGTATCCATCACGATCCATATGTTATGCTCGTTAAGTGATTTGCTTGAATACTATTGCGAGTTCAACTTAGTCGGTTAACGACACTGAAGACAAATGATCCAATGACACGATAGGCTACTCTAATCCGAGCATCACAAGGCCCCATTAAGTAGACGAATGTGTCTTGACAAGATATAGAAAGTGTATTCTACAAGTACCCAGAAAATATGAGGTTGACAAGCGCACGAGTTTATTTATACATGATAGAAACATTCTTGTGAGAACCACAAAAATACCATACTAAAATAACACATCAACCAATGACAACAGACAAGGATTTTTCGAGTGGGAAATATAATCTGAAGGTCAACTGATCAGTCCATGCTCGAAAACATAAAATCCAAATTTAAGATCTATATCAAGTGAGTTCTAGGGATCTAACGTCCTCAGTACTATAAAACATCTCTAACATATTACTTTGTCCAACTATTTCTCTGACATTTCCAAAATTATAATTTAACGTTTTAAAAGAAAGTTGTTCTGAATCCCTCTCTCTGACTCCTTAGTTTCGAGCATGTCAGTAATTTAGTAAGTGAATTTTTGTCAAGTCTAGACTTAATTCTAAGATTCTGTCAGTTTTATGACTGATCTCAGTTGAAATACCACTAAAAACCAGGGAACAATCAACAATTACATCGATTTTTTTCAAATAAAACTCATGAACCTCGGCTAATTCAACGATTGAAATCAATTTCCTCAAGTCATGTAGCATGTGTTCTTATCATTATGAAGTCTTGTATTAAAGCGCAGTAGCCACCCAGTACTCCTTAGTATTTAGTGTCATTTCATTCAATGTTCACTGTGTTCTTTTATTGTTTAAAGAAGCGCTCATTTTTTGTTTTACTGCTTTCATGTATTAACCTTTTTCTTGTTTGTTTTTTTATTCTAGGCTGTAATGTTGATGTTTGAAAATCTTGGTTTTGTGCAAAAATGGCAGATGTGTCAATCTGATTTAGCTTGTTTCATTTTGACAGTGAAAAAAAGTTATCGTACACCGACATATCATAATTGGACACATGCATTTACTGTTGGACATATGGCTTACATAGCATTGACTATTGAACGACAATTGATCAATCAGTATTTGGATGACCTTGAACGATTGGCATTGTTTGTTGGCACACTGTGTCACGATTTGGATCATAGAGGATTTAATAATGATTATGAAGTAAGTAGTAATTTTTTGTTGAGAAAAAGAAATCTACTGTAAACAAAACTAACATGCACGCAAAACTATTCTCAGTGTTCCACTAAAATCATAAATCAATCATTGTTAGACCAACATTAGAAGGAAGCTGGGAACGCTGGGGGCGGACATTTCGCCCTGATATGGGACTCATCAGCACTGATTGATCAAAGTTAGACATTCACATCGTTGCATCCCACCCCCAGTGCTTCAAAGGTAACATGTACGCGAGCAAGACCGAAGGCCCTGGGTTCGAATCGCCTGAGCAACAGGAGTCGTGGATGTACACTGCCGATTAACGCTGTATCAGGACGAAATGGCTGCCCAGTGCTTTCAGGTTTCTAATGGAGGTCTAACAATGACAGGTTGGTGACTTCAGTTATAACTGACAATCTCCATAACTCTATAATTAAAAAATATTCTCAAAATCATATTGTTTCAATTGTCACTTGTCCTCCATAAAAACATCATTTAATAGAATAATATTGCTTCTCACTTATTACACTCAAGATAATCATTAATGTGGAAGTTTCCAGAATAACCTCTAGACCACAGAACGCATATCCAACAATGTTAGTATTTAACTTCAATCTATCCACAATATATTGCTCAACCTCATCCATTGTCTTTAGTGAGTAACTGCCCCGTACATGACGAAGTTAAGCTCCACTGGTCACGAATTCTCACTAGAACTCCGAGAGTTTCACCATGAACCTAGTCATAAGTGAGCACAATATCATGGATTGAATAAAGTTAGAGATATTGACATCACTGAATACCAACCTAGTGGTCTAGAGTTTAAGTGATCGCACGCGAGACCGAAGGTCCTGGGTTCGATCCCCGTGTATGAAATACTTGTGGATACATACTGATGATGAGTTCCATAGTATGATAAAATGGTCGTCCAGTACTTCAAGGTTTCTAATGATGATGGTCTGACATTGATCGATTAATGACTTCAATGGACCGCAACAGTCTTCAGAACCCTATCATAAAAAAATTAAGAATCGCACCATACGTAATATCGGTGTCATAGGAACTTTTATGATTATTATTATTATTACTACTATCAACCTTATTTAATAAATTAACATTTCAATCAATCAATCAATCATTTTCTGTTTAGGAGCTAATTCATTCACCCCTTGCAGAGATTTATGGTTATCAAGGATCCATTCTGGAACATCATCACCTTGGTCAAGCTATGAGAATTTTAAATTCAACTGATTGTAATATTTTTAATCAAATGACTAAAGTGGTAAGTGATTTCCTTCACGCGTTTTTGCATGTGTGTGTATTTATATGGTACGATTAAGTTCTACAAAAATTTAGACTGGAAGCCTTTCTTGGGTTACTACCAGCCCCAAACCTGGCTAAAGTGACAATGTTGGGCATCGGGTCAGCGACCCCATCCCGTAGAAAGCGAATTCGCTAAAAAAAAGTAGCGCTACCCACAACTAATAATTGGAAGGTCTTCATTAGGAAGTGTTATTATACCTCGCGATGAAAGCCGGGTGTTAGGATGTTCATCAAATATCCCAAGAGAATTATTTCTGTAAGTCTAATTCTATTGATCAATTCCTACTGGTCAATATTATGGTTGTCCTAGCTATCAGTGTCATGTACTTCAATATTGTTCATTACTGGTCGTCCTGACTATCAAATGCTGCTTCCTATTCGAACTAACTCTATAAATACGCATTATCTGTAACGTTTTATGATCCGGATCCCTGGTCCGGGATCCTGATTCTCCTCTGGACTCGGACCTCGTACTTCTTGGATGCTAGTATAATACAGGTTCTACTTCATATCAAGTCTTTTTATTTTTACTCAATATGGGGGGGTTGGGATAATCGGATTTGAGTAGCATGTCGTGTCACCGGATCCTCGATCCTCGTTTTCGTTTTCCGAATATGGTAAACTCGTAATAGTTCACGCATATCAAATGATGTGTTTACCTGCATGCGTAACACTGAGTTTCTTCGGAAGTCACGAGGCTGACACCCATTGTGTGCATCTCTCAGAGCAATCATTACCATAAGTGCATGGAAGAACCCAAGTGAGTCACATGTCAAGCCCTAACATGCAATCCTCAAGACCAAAAGAAAAGATGATTACCACAAAACACTACGCCAAGAAATGGAGACAGAGATGAAAAGAATGGTCAGCGATTTGTTAGAAGTGAGAAGGAAGACTCAGAACAGAGTAGTTTGGAGAATACTGATTGGCGGCCTATTTTCCATGAGCTCAGAGAACAAAACTTCATCACAATCAACAACACCACTCCGAATAAAAAAATTAGCCCTCAAATAACTTTGTAATACCGAAGGTTGAGAGAGAGTCCGTTCTCCATCTACAAAGGCCTTTGCACTGACATGCTTATATAACCAGTGCTACTCTATGCATTCTCGTGGTGAAGGTGTCGGTCATGAAATTAACAGGAGGAAGAGTGAGTATCCTGAGGAGGTTGAAACAGGATTGGTGAGTTCGATCGGTTCACCTAGAGGAGTTGAACAACCGTGATTCGAAATCAATGCTGCACATGAGCTCCGGGATCTGAGGGAGTGTAGTGTGCCCGATGGCTGCGTGTTCTTTAGCTGAATTTATAAATCAATAGATAAACTCCAAGTATCGTATACATTTATTCGAGGCACACCACATACAGACTGAGCAGATACACTAGCGAGCGAATATGCGAATGAGCGAAGAGGAGAAGCGAATGGGAGAAGGCTGTTGAGCCAACTCAAAGAGATAGAGTATGACTAAGAATATATAGTCAGATAAAAATAAGACAGACATATGACAAGCGAAATAGGTATGCACACACATGAATAAAAGCGACGAATGACTGACAAGGTCAAATGCAAGCGATACAAATCATGTGAGTTCATGGGAATATTAAGAGATTAACATTAAAGCGAAAAGGATGAGTAAGTGCGTAAGCGTAAGCAATGCTCAGTCGTACAAGCTCATAAAAAGCAGATAATAAAAAATAACAATGGTAAATATGAGTTGTTGCTATACAAATGGCTTGGTTAAATAAATTAATCGAAAGGGCTTAACCAAGTTAGATGTAAGAGTACTGGAATATATGTGGAGGCACTACAGGAGATTATTATCATCTCACGGACCCTAACCAGGTAGTCGACAACTACCGACATGGCTAAGTCCATTTGTCAATAACTTCATGGATTTCTGCCATGTTTTGGTTTGGCCGCCCCTAACTTTCTTCCAACCTATTCCTACATTACAAAACAAAGCCCTTCGATGCAGTCGGTGGTTAGGCATTCGCAGCACATGTCCCAACCACCTCAACTGATGAAGTTTTATTACTTCATCTATTGATCTGCCATTCTTACCTAGCACCCGATTCCTAATAACAGCGTCGCTCACTCGGATGTCCCACGACATACGAGCAATGCTTCGAAGACACCTATGATCGAAAACCAGTAACCGACAAATATCTTCTACTCTCACTGACCATGTTTCATAGCCATAAAGTAAGACGGAGCGAACTACTGCGCAGTACACTTGTCCTTTTAGTCAGCAAACGAATTTCTCGCCTATGCCATAAGTGAAGCAGGTTGGCAAAAGCCAATCGAGCCTTCTGTATCCGTGCTGAGATTTCGTCAGTCACCAGGCCATCAGCACTGATGAGACTCCCGAGATAAGTGAAGCGGTCAACACGCTCGACTACATCACTCCCTATCACTAGTTCAGTTACCGATGAAACCCAATCTGGAATCAACATTTTGCATTTCGAGTGGGAAAACCGCATCCCGAACATGCTTGCATTGTTGCTTAGGGTAGTCAGGAGACTATGCATTTTGTCACCGTCTTCACCAAGTAGGACTATGCCATCGGCATATTCTAAGTCAATAAGTGAGCCACCTGTTAAAAGGTCTACTCCTGAAAATTCAGACGAGGATAGCGATGTTATTGAAATCATGAGTGAAGAATTGTTAGGTGATAACCATTAGAAACCTAGAATCACTGGACAGCCATTTCGTCCTGATATGGAACTGATATACCTCAGAAAGTGTATTCTACAAACACCCAACAAGCACAATACAATCAAGCACACAAATCACGTTTATTTATATACATCATAGAAATGTCCTTGGCAGAGTCACAAAAATAGCACACACTAAAATAACACATAAATAAACCAATCACAGCCCAAGGCTTATCCTGGCGGGAAATATGATCTCAAAGTCAACTGATCAGCCCATCAATAAAATCCAAAATTCATGCCCTACATCAAGTGAGTTCTGTGGGAACTAACGTCCCCAAACAGTGTTAATCACTTGAAGTTAAATGTTCCAAGTAGTGAATTTATGTAAAATATTTCCTTCCTCTACTTTGTTTGTATTTATTCTCTAGGAATATGAAAGATTTAAATCCTTGTTGAAACAAATTATTATAGCTACAGATTTATTTCAACATATTGCATTGAAACCGGACTTAATTCAACTTACAAGTCAAACATTTAATCCAATGAATGACAAACATCGACAATTACTTTTATCGATCATAGTTACAGCATGTGATTTAAATGATCAGTGCAAACAATGGAGTAATACATGTGAAGTGGCTAAATTAATTTATCATGAATTTTTTCATCAAGGTGATTTAGAATTATCATGTCATAATCGTAATATACCATTATCATTGGATCGGAATAAAGCATTTATCCCGGAATTACAAATACATTTTCTTGAAACCATTGTTCAACCATGTTTTAAGTAAGTTTTTTTTTTTGCAATAGTCTACATTGATCAAATTGCTTGAAAAAAAATATAATTTACTCTTCTATTTGTAATTGTAACTGATGAAGTGAGTGTAACACTGATTTAATTAATGTGACTATATTAGAATCATACAATGTTAGAAAGTTTTGAAGTTAACTCAAGTCAATCGATTAGAATTAATGTGAGGTTCTGGAAGTTTTGATGAGAAGACGTGACCAGTGAAGTTCGACCTTGTCAGATGTGGGCGGTAACTACTGAAGACAAATGGATGAGATTGTGCAAAATCTTTAGATTGATCGAATTTAGACATTAACACCATTTGGATGCTAGCCCAAATGATCCAGACGTTAAGCGTTCGCGCGCAAGAACGAATATCTTTATTTCGAAACATATGAGTAGCAGGAGTCATGAATGCGTATTGCTGATGAGTCCTATATCAGGACGAAACGGCCATCCAGTGCTTCCAGGTTTCTAATGTTGGTCTAACAAAGATTCATTCACGATTTCAGGATATAATTGATACTTTGGATATGAGAACCGATTCTTAAATTCAGAATGACTGAATTTTGAAATAGAAGGTGTTCGGGATGTTAGATCCCCAGGATTCGTTTGATAAATGCCTTATTTTGGATTTCAAGTTTGCGAGCATGGGCTGATCAGTTGACCTTGAAATTTCATTTCCCACCAGGAAAATCCATGGCTATGATTGGCTGCTGTGTGTTTTAGTGTTGTATTTTCGTAACTGTCCCCAGGACATTTCTATGATGTATAAATAAACGAGAGTTGTGTACTTGATTGCATTGTGATTGCTGGGTGTTTGTAGAATACACTTTCTAGGCTTACAAAGCCTTCTATCTTCAGCTTGGGATTCAAGGCAGCCTATCTGGATGCTGGTAATTGTCTCGTTCGCGTTTATCGACTAAGGTGAACTTGTAACAGCTTCAAGCGTACCTAGTGACGAACCCTACAGAAGGCTACTGTTAAATTAATGAACAAAGTATTTTTGAGGCAGATTTGAAAACAATCGTCAGATAAGAAGCAGGATTGTTACAGTTGGACTGAAACTCACAACAACTGCCTATCAACCAACTACAAAGTTATAATTTTCAATACAAAAATGTCCAAACAATTCTATTGTACTGAGCGAAAAGTAAGGAAACAACGCAAGCTGTCATCCAAAAGATAAAAGTGTTGATTAACAGTTGTCTAAACAAAATACTTTGGATCCATCGGCCAGACACAATCAGCAACAACCTACTGTGTAAAAGGACACACCAACTTCCACTTGAAGAAGGAATTAGGAAAAATCGCTGGCGGTGGATAGCACGCGCATTGAGAAAAGCAGCCAACTCAGAATCTTGAAGCCTAAATGGAACGAGACCAAAAAACACAGTGAACTTGAAGTACGACATGAAAAAAAAATGAAGAAAAATTAATTAGAACTGGGAAGAAGAGTGTAAGACAGGGGAGGTGCCTACAGAAAAGTCGTAGGCGGACTACGTTTGGAGATGGTTACTGGGCGGCATGATGAGTAAGTAAAGTGAGTACTGTCAAAACTCACCACATTTATATCAAAAGACTAAAAATGTCATTTATTTACAGAAATAATCTTCTTCAAATTATATAACCTTAAGTCGCGTGTCGGTCAGTCAATAAGTAATGCAAGGTGGTAATTCAGTGTGAAAAGAACAGCCTAAATAAATTAAAAATTACTCAGTGGTAAATCAGTCGAGCTACCTCATCATTCATGTAGGAGAGTCACTGACCATATACCTCAGTGACAACATCTCAGACTATGAGCCTTGGTAACATAAATTCAAACCTCACAAGCATTAGTAGTAGTAGAAGTAGTAGTGTGGTGCTGTGGTGCGAACTACTTATAAGTAGTATATGACGTGAGGGTCAACGTAAAGTCTGGTAGCATAATATGGGGGGAAGATCAAGAAAGGAAGAGTTAGAAGAACACAATGGAATTTGTATGAAACGCATGAATAGTGACAATGGATTGATGTTTTACAACAGGAACAGTCCAGTTCGATATGATGAACTGATATTTTGCAAATTAACGATTTACGATATGGTTTTCCTATTTTACTGAGTAACTCTGTAATTTTCGTTAAATACAATTCGGTTGCCCAACCTGTGTTCCCTTCACTACAGTAGTAGTAGATCTTTCTAGGTTATAATTACGTCTTTGCGACGAATATCAACTCGATCGATATGGTTCCCAATTATAAGATATAGCAGAATCAATATTTGATTAAACAAGACTGCGGGCACTTAGTCTTGAATTCGAAAGCTTAAGCTTCCCATCACTGAGCCTGAAATTCAGTAGCCTAAATGTCTGACTTCAGTCAATCCACGCTATTGTACGACCTCATCTATTATCTTGGGATTGTAACTGCAGTAACATGGATTGATTCAGTTGAAACCCTGAACATCATTAAAGTCCGTTTCAATGATCGGAAGTTTACACATCCACGTGAGAGATTGAAGATCATGGGTGCCTGGTCCCTAGTAGCAGAGTTATAAACCCTCAATGTTAATGAAACATCTGTCCACTGTTGTGCATGTATCAATTAGTTGCCTAACATTGACCAGTTTATGCTTTCAATGAAAAATTCAACAATCTTCACAACTCCTATAATGAATGACTCTTAGGATATTCATCCAATATCCTAGGAGAATTATTGGTCAAACCTATTGGTCGATTTCTACTGGTCAAAATTATGGTCTTTATAACTGTCAAAGTCAAATACTTCAATGTTGTTTCTTATTGGTAGTCCTGATTATCAATGTCACTTCAAATTTTACTTCCTATTGGTCGTCTTAACTTTCAATGCACAGAATTCGATGCTGTTTCCTATTCGACCAAAATGTATAAATACGCATTATCTGTAACGTTTTATGACCACGACCAGGACCAGGGCTCGGTCCCAGATCCCTAGTCCGGGATCCTGATTCTCTTCTGGATTCGGACCTCGCACTTTCTGGATGCTTGTGGAATAGAAGTTCTACTTCACATCATGTCTTCTCATTTTAACTAAATATGGGAGTTGTAATAATCGGGTTCGAGTAACATATCGTGTCACCGGATCCTCGCTCTCGTTTTCCGACTAAGGGGTAAACTCGTAATAGTTCAAGTATATGTCAAGTTGACGTGTTTATGTGCAGGCGTAACAATGATATTCTCACTTTATTTTTTATTTGACATCCTATTTTCTTTTTCCCACATTTCTAGACTATTATCATTGATCTTACCGAAATTTCAATCAACCCTGAAAACAATTCATAAAAACAAACAAATTTGGCAAATGTTATCCAATAAATTTAAACAAAATGAATTAACTGATTATACAAATGAATTATTATTTGAAAAATTTTATCACCAATTAGTAGAAGAATATTCAATTGCCAATAATTTGTAATTTTTGACAAGAAGGCTACATTACAGTACAGTACAGTACAGTACAGTACAATTTATTGTAAAAAACAACACAAAATTGTCATTTACTGTATATGTCATTGTTACATACACTATTTAATTCCTCTCCTGATTAGAGAGAGAGCTCATAAAACAACCCAGATTACTTACTACCTAGAAGACATGTAAATAAATTTATTGACTACTATCTATACTACTTATATATATACTTATAATTCAAAAAATAAAACTATATATATATTTTTTTAATTCTTGCTGCAAAAGAAAACCCTTTCTATTTCAACATATTTATTTTTGTTTTTTTGTTTTGAAAATGGCTCATCAAATTGATAAATTCATTTAGTGCGTTCAAACAAAACTATTCCACGTTGACTGTTTGTTATCGATTGATTTTTGAAGAAAATCAAAACTGACGAACTTATTTTTTTTTTTAATATTGTCTTCCTTGCTAACTTATTTTTTTTTGTTTGATTGAATACAAAAATAAGAAAACACCAGTTACACATACTGTTATTATTTTTCTATTTTTGATCTACTTGATAAACAGTGATATTGAACATTGAACAATTGTCCACCAAAAAATTCTCAGTTAGCTAACTAACTAGCTGGCGAACTGGTGAGCTATTATTGTACACAATGTTTTTTTTTCTGTGCAGATCACATAAAAATGAATGAATATCAATTTACATAAACATAATAATCATAATAATGGTGTTTATTGTTTGTTTATAGTTAGTCAGTGGTTTGTAGCAAGTTGGGCTTGGTTGGGACCGGTAGTAACCTGTTATGCTTGCCGCCAGTTGATATGCATGAAACTTTTCCTAGTTTACCTTAGTCGGTAAATGAGAGCGAAGTTAAATGATCCAGTGACACGATAGACTACTCTAATCCGAGCATTCCATGGCCCCAACTAAGTAGAGGAAGAAGTCTTGATTATGGCGTAGAAAGTGTATTCTACAAGCAATTAGAAAATATGAGAGGTTCATGAACACATAAATCGAGTTTATTTATACATGATAGAAACATCCTTGGGAAAGTCACAAAAATAGAGTACTAAAATAACACATGAACCAATGACAACAGCCAAGGATTTTCCGGATGGGAAATGTATCCTCAAGGTCATCTGTTCAGCTCATGCTCGAAAGCGTAAAATCCAAAATGAGGACCTTTATCAAGGGAATTCTGATGATATAACGTCTCCAACAGATACCTAGTTTCGTTTTGATGGGATGACATGCCTTCAAACTGATAGCGTTACAGATACATTGATATGTCACCATGAAAAGACCGACCTTTAAGGATTGATTGATGAAATAACATATTACGTAACATTTGTTGAGGATGATTTTATTATATTTTCAATTAGAGTTATGATTGAAATCATCAATCAATCATTGTTAGACCACCATTAGAAACCTGGAAGCCTTGGATGGCCGTTTCGTCCTAATGTGGGACTTCTCAGCAGTGCGCCGGATTCGAACCCACGACCTTCGGTATTGTGCGCGAACGCCCGAACCGTTAGACCACTGAGCCAGTATCTAACGATGTTAACGTCTAACTTGATCAAATTCACGGAGTTGCGCAACCTCATACATAGTCTTCGGTAGACACTGCCTACACCCGAACAGGTTGAACTTCACTGGTCACGTCTTCCCACTAGAACTCGGAGAAGATTCATTACGAAGTTAGTCGCTAGTGAGCACAGGTAATTTGCATTACGGGGTTGTGAAGATTGTTAAGTTACTCATTTTTTGAAACCATGAATCGATCAAAGTTAGTTGCCGGCTCAGTGGTCTAACGGTTAGGGCGATACCGAAGGTCGTGGGTTCGAATCCTGCGCACTGCCGAGGAGTCCCACATTAGGACGAAACGGCCGTCCAGTGCTTCCAGGTTTCTAATGGTGGTCTCATTTTCAGTCTAAGGTAAACTCGTACTAGTTCAAGGATATCAAAATGACAATGTTTACGTACATGCGTAACAAGTTCTCAGAAAATTCCTGGAGCTGACATGTAATCTTCAGTATCACTAATATAGTATCTTTTTCAGATGTCACTGACAACTGGAATCCTTAAAAAAAAACACCTTAAGTTATCATAATTCAAGTGGACGTTCATACTTTCACTTCGTTAAAGACTTCACTCCTAGCTGATTATACTACATTTTTCAGAGTGACTGAAAGCATCAGTGTACAAAAACTTATTCATGTCTGTACTGTGTACTAATATGCTGAGGAAACATCGCTTGTCCCAGCTTTTGGACAAATAAGTTATTCCATTCGTCTTAAGTTAATAACGTCTCCTGACCTTGGAAATTATTTGTTCATAATCTTGGTTACGTTTATTTGGGCGTGCTAGCGTAGATCCTGGACGGAGGAGGTTGGAGAATGCTGGTTAATCACATAGGCTGCACTAAAGGTGACAGGCGTAAATGGGTTTGTGCGTGCATTTTTGTACTTCACTCATCAAATATCCCAACCTTATTTTTGTCTAAAAATAAATACATATTTTTCACCGAAGAGTTATAGAGATTGTAACAAATTGCTGAATTCATCAATCAGTCATTGTTCGACCACCTTTTGAAACCTCAAACGCAAAAGACGGCCGTTTCACCCTGCTATTCAACTGATCAACAATGCGCATGTACAATCCCTACTACTCTCAAGATCCGAACCCGGTCTTGTGCACGAACGCCTAACCTTTGGACCACTCGGCCAGCAACAAACGCCAAACGATACTAATGTCTAACTCTGATCAATCTAAGCATTTTACCCAATCCCACCCATTTGTCTTCGGTAGGTAATTTCCTACACCCGACAGGATTGAGCTTCAATGAATTTACATTATACTATTATGGAAATCGTTATTGTATATTGAAACGGCCGAAAAAACGCTTCCAGATTTTGAATGGTAGTCTAACAACAGACAGACAGACAGATACAGCACAGAACTGCGTACTTATATTCATCAGTTCAGGTGGTCATACTGCATTAGCATAGACACGTAACTGTCAGTTCAAATCCCATACTGGTAGAGATAGTATAAATCAGAAGGTTAGAATAGATAAAAACATTAATCTTCATAGTACCAAAGAATATTTACCTTAGCATACAAAAAGCACTAAACTCTTCGCGAATTGAAAATTAACATTACTAGCTAGTTACGTCATGATAGCAAAATTAGAAAGGGCGAGTATATTGCGTGATAATATCAACAACAACAAAAACAGTGGACTGATTATCAGTTTTTCTGAAGAAAAAAAAACAAAAGAGAATTACTTATAATAATCATGAATATTACGTAATAAATATATATATTTAAGATATCATATGATTTTTATCAATGAATGAATGAATGAATGAATGATACATGAAATAGTTCATTTTGTCACAAAAGAGAAACATTTTTACTGATAAGATATTACATTGTTTAATTTAATTAAAATTTTTACACAAGACGTTCCCTTTGAATGATTTGAATCAGACTAGCAGTAGCTTAAAAAACAGAGCTCCAGGTGGAGTTGTACATTAACAGTTGTGTACGTAAGACACTATCAGCAAAGACCTACTGTGGGAGAGGACAAACTAGATGCCAGCGAAGGAAGAAATCAAGAAGAAGCACTAGGAGTGGATAAGACACTCATTGAGGAAAGCATCGAACTGTGTCGTCTCACGACGAGCCTTCACATAGAATCGTCAGTGCTTAAGGAGAAGACAGAGACCAACAAATACATTATTTTGAGAAATGTAGACAGACATGGGAAAAATAAACCGTCATTGCACAGAACTAGGAAGGAAGTCTGAGGACAGAGTGGGTTGGAGAATGTTGGTCGGCAGCCTATGCTCCATTAGAGATAACATGTGTTAGTAACTAAGTAACCAAGGGAAGATAAACACAAAGATTAGTGTGTAGTGAAGGAGAACACAGGTGGGGCAACCGAATTGTATTTAACGAAAATTACAGAGTTACTCAGTAAAATAGGAAAACTATAACGTCAATTGTTGATTTGCAAAATATCAGTTCATCATATCGAACTGGACTGTTCCTGTTGCAAAAAATATCAATCCATTGTCACTATTCATGCGTTTCATACAAATTCCATTGTGTTCTAACTCTTTTGTTTTCTTGATCTTCCCCCATCTGATGCCAGACATTACGTTGACGCTCACGTCATATACTACTTATAAGTAGCTCACACCACAAGTGCAGAATATTACGAAAAATTCATTCTTTTCTCACTAGATTATCGTCATCAGTCACTAGTAACCTATGATATTTTCCAATTATCATGGAAATCATTCTGGTTGGTGTTTTGTTTTAGTGAGTTAATTGTCTATGGGATGGAATCGGTAACCTTATGCCCAACCTTTATCCTTAATCTGGGTTAGGGAGCGTCAGTAACGTTGGAGGGGTTTTTAAGGCAGAGTTATCAATGAAGTTGGCATACTCATAAATATGAAGGTGATTAACAAAATGTATCATGAGGCTGCAAAGTTTCCAATAAAATAATTAAGGTCGTGATAAAATAGGTTCTCTTTCTAGGTGAAGGCCGTTGTCAGGCAAGGTTGCTTACTCTCACCCTTTCTTTTTCCCCTGGTCATCGACTGGATTATGAAGACGTCGGAATCTGGAGAGAAGTGCGATATTCATTGGACAGCTAGAAAGCAGCTGGATGATCTGGCTCTTCTATCGCACACGCAACAACAAATGCAAGAGAAGACGACCAGTTTAGCTGCAGCCTCTGCAGCAGCAGGTCTCAACATACATAAATGAAAAAGCGAAATTCTCCGATGCAACACAACATGCACCAAACAAATCACTCTTGACGGAGATGCCTTGGAGGACGTAAACACATTTACATATCTGGGCAGCATCATCGACAACCAAGGTGGATCGGATGCAGATGTGAGGGCACGGATTGGCAAAGCGAGGGCTCCATTTGTACAGATGAAAAATATCTGGAACTCCAAACGAATATCAACCAAAACCCAAATCACGATTTTCAATACATATGTCAAGACATTTGTACTGTATGGAGCGGAAACATGGAGAACTACCAAAACCATCATCCAGAAGATACAAGTATTCCTTAACAGTTGTCTACGCAAAATACTTCGTA